AAGGTCATCCAAATTGGTGAGAAGGAAATCAGATCGTCCCTGTTTGCAGATAACATGATCGTATATACATATAAACCCTAAACACTCCACAGAACACTCTGAATTGATAAACTGATGAAGTTGCAGGATACAAAAAATCAACATACAAAAATTAGCTGAAAAACAAATCAAGAAAGCAAGCCCATTTACAATAGCAAAAACAAGATACCTAAGAATAAATTTAACTACGTAAGTGAAAGATCTCTACAAGGAAAACTATAACACATTAATGAAAGAAATTGAAGAGGACAGAAAAAGATAGAAAGATATCCCATGTTTATGAATTGGAAGAATTGATATTATAAAAATGGCCATACTACTAAAATCAATCTACAGATTCTATGTAATTCCTATCAAAATTCCAATGATATTCAGTGTCTCAAGTCTGTAATCTCAGTACTTTAGAAGGCCAAGGCAAGAGGACTGCTTGAGTCCAGGAGTTGGAGACCAGCACGGGAAACAAAGTGAGACCCCGCCTCTACAAAAATAAAAAATTAGCCAGGTGTGGTGTCACACGTCTGTGGTCCAAGCTACTTGGGATGTTGAGGTAGAGGGATCACTTGAGCCCAGGAGTTAGAGGCTGTAGGGAGCCATAATTGTGCCACTGCAGTCCAGCCTGGACAAAAGAGTGAGACCCTGTCCTGGAAGGAAAGGGAAGGGAAGGGGAGGTGCAGGGAGGGGGGAAAAAAGGGAAGGGAAAGGAGAAAGAAGGGAAGGGGGAAGGGAGAAGGAAGGGAAGGGAAGGTAGGAGGAAGGAAGAAAGGAATGAAGAAAGGAAGGGAGGAAGGGAGGGAGGAAGAAGGAAGGAAGGAAGAAAGGAAGGAAGGAAGGACGGAAGGAAGGAAGGAAGGAAGGAAGGAAGGAGCTGGAGGAATCACATTACCAGACTACAAAATATAATAGAAAGCTGTAGTAATCAAAACATCATGGCACTGGCATAAAAACCGACACATAGACCAGTGTAACAAAAGAGAGCCCAGAAATAAATCCACATATTTACAGCCAACTTATTTTCAACAAAGGTACCAAGAATATTCATTAGGGGAAGGGAAAGTTTCTTCAATAAAGGATGCTGGGAAAATTGGATACTCATACTCAGAAAATCAAAATGAGACCTCTCTCTCTTACCATACACAAATATCAACTAAAAATGGATTAAAGACTTAAATGTAAGACCTGAAACTATGAAACTACTAGAAGAAAACACAGCGAAAATGTGTCAGGACATTGGTCTAGGCAAATATTTTATGGCTGAGACCTCAAAAGCATAGGCAACAAAAGCAAAAATAGACAAATGATACATATCAAACTACAAAGTTTCTGCACGGCAAAGGAAACAGTCAACAAGGTGAAGAGGCAGTCTGCAAAGTTGGAGAAAATATTTGTAAACGATTCATCCAACAACGGTGTAATATCCAAACCTCAGTATTATGCAATATACTCTTGTAACAAACCTGCATATGTACTCCTTGAATCTTAAAAACAACAAAGCAAAAAAGGCTTTGCTTTTGGCCTCAGTCTCAGCTTTTGACTTGCCTTCTTCACTAAGCTTAATTATCTCTTGCTTTTGATTTTGAGTGAGAGATGTATGTCTTTCTATGACTTAAACACTTAGAAGGCATTGTAGGGTTTGTAATTTGCCTAATTTCAATATTGCTGTGTTTCAGGGAACAGGTAGGCTCTGTCACCAGGCTGGAGTTGCAGTGTCACCAATCTCGGCTCACTGCAACCCCCAACTCCTGGGTTCACGCCATTCTCCTGCCTCAGCCTCCCAAAGTAGCTGGACTACAGGCGCCTGCCACCACACCTGGCTAATTTTTTGTTTTTAGTAAAGAGATGGGGTTTCACCGTGTTAGCCAGGAGGTCTCGATTCTCTGACCTCATGATCCCGCCCACCTCGCTCCCAAAGTGTTGGGGATTACAGGCGTGAGCCACCGCACCCAGCTGTCTGTGCTGGGTTTTATGATGTCATCCAATAACTCACAACTATGTAATTTATCTCCTTTTTACAGATAAAGAAATGGGGGCTCAGAGCAGTCAAGAACGTTCCCAAGTTATTCGTCAGTGAAGCAGAATTGTGGTGTCCTTGTGTAAGGTTCAGTTTATACTTTACCATTATACTGTGCTCACAAAATATCTGATATTCACTTTTTTTTTTTTTTTTTGAGACAAGAGTCTTCGCTCTGTCGCCCAGGGCTGGAGTGCAGTGGCCGGATCTCAGCTCACTGCAACCTCACCTCCCGGGTTTACGCCATTCTCTGCCTCAGCCTCCTGAGTAGCTGGGACCACAGGCGCCCCGCCACCTCGCTCCGGCTAATTTTTTGTATTTTTTAGTAGAGACGGGGTTTCACGGGTTAGCCAGGATGGTCTCGATCTCCTGACCTCGTGATCCGCCCATCTCGGCCTCCCAAAGTGCTGGGATTACAGGCTTGAGCCACCGCGCCCGGCCCTGATATTCACTTTCAAAGTATGTGTAGGAAGTTTACTATGATGATGCAGAGACATTGTACAGAATCCAGTCCCTTGACTCTCAGGTCCCCAGAATACTCACTTCACAATTTTGTTGACCTCTTACATCAAATTAAAGCTGGCACTCTCTTGGCTGGTTTTCTCTGCTCTTTCTGGGCACTCCAAAGCTTCTGTACTTACATGCTACAATTCCAGTCACAGGAAGATGCTGACTTGATTCTTTAGTCTCAGATTCATATTCCTGAGAAAACCTAACTGCCTAGGCACAGGTCAGAACTCTCGTTTCAGTTGATTATGGCTGGGCCTACTGCCCCTCTGTATGGTGGTGGGGCAAAAGTTCCCAGAGAGAGGCAGGGGTGACAGGGACTGTTGTCGTCTCAAATGCTAGGCAGACATCTGGGGTGGTAACCACTACATCTGTTCACAGTGAGCACATCCTTGCAGGGAAACTGGGTTAATCATCTCTATTATTGAAACTCAGAGGCATAGTGTTTCTTCATAGGAATTTTCTTTCCTTTTTTGAGATGGGGTCTCGCTTTGTCGCCCAGAATGGAGTGCAGTGGTGTGATCTTGGCTCACTGCAGCCTCCCCTCCCGAGTTCAAGCAATTCTCCTACCTCAGCCTGCTGAGTAGCTCTGACTACAGGCATGGGCCAACACGCCTGGGTAATTTTTGTATTTCTAGTAGAGACAAGGTTTCATCATATAGGCCAGGCTGGTCTTGGACTCCTGACCTCAGGTAATCTGCCCACCTTGGCCTCCCAAACTGCTGGGATTACACGTGTGAGCCATCGCGCCCAGCCTAGTTATAGGAATTTTCTCTCTATATATAATAATTTGAAGATCACAACTAGATGCCTTTTCGTGTAATCGTATCTTGAATGGAACAAACATTTTCTTTCTACATAGAAATTATACATAAATAACTCACTGCTTTTTAATACCCATGAAAAAGCATTAGCTCAAAGACACTTGCAAAATTGTTATCAAGTTGTTTTGCTTGGTGTGTATTAAGTTTGAAGCAAAGGGGATTTTCAGATACCAAGACAAAGTAGAAGTCTTCCACCAAGCTGAAATCATTACATTGCAATTTAATCATATGATACAACCAATTTTTTGATGTGTTACGCCATTCACCAAATACCAACGATTTTTAGGGGAAACTTTACATCCTCAATACTGTACACTTCCAGCTACACCACCACCTAACATGGACTTTAAAAAGAATACAAAGTACAGTATGCCTTCTCAGTGCCTTGGTAGTAATTCAGTTACAATTCTGCCAAACTTTAAGAAATACAATTCTCAATCTTACACTGTTCAGAGCACAAGCACAGCTTATTGTACACAAGAGATGTGCATCCGTTCCCACTCCTCAGGGACTGTATGAATTTGGCTTTATATATTTTTTTAGACGGAGTCTCACTCTGTTGCCAGGCTAGAGTGCAGTGGTGTGATCTTGACTCACTGAACTCTGTCTTCTGGGTTCAAGTGATTCTCCTGCCTCAGCCTCCCAAGTAGCTAGGACTACGGGCGCACACCACCAAGCCCAGTTGATTTTTTTTTTTTGTATTTTTAGTAGACACGGGGTTTCATCATGTTGGCCAGGATGGTCTTGATCTCTTAACCTCATGATCCACCCACTTCAGCCTCCCAAGGTGCTGGGATTACAGGCTTGAGCCACCGTGCCCAGTCAAATTTGGCTCTTAAGAAACCAAGGAGAAATGTGTGCACTAGGCCCAGGGCTGAAGAGCTGCTTCTCATCAGATGCCTCTCTTGGTCTGGCTGCTGTATCCAGTCCTATCCGGGGTTAGCTCTGTTCCTCCTCCTTGTGGCATCTGTGTTCTCTGTCTGCTCTGTCTCTCCCCATCTCCCAGTCCAAACATCCAAAGAAATTAGTTATCTCCAGGAGATCGAGACCATCCTGGCTAACACGGTGAAACCCCATCTCTACTAAAAATACAAAAAATTAGCCGGGCGTGGTGGTGGGCACCTGTAGTCCCAGCTACTCAGAAGGCTGAGGCAGGAGAATGGTGTGAACCCGGGAGGTGGAGGTTGCAGTGAGCTGAGATCGCGCCACTGCACTCCAGCCTGGGCGACAGAGCGAGACTCTGTCTCAAAAAAAAAGAAATTAATGACCTCTGCCCCTAACTAAACAAAGCCTTTCATCTAAGGCCAACCTTACGTTGGCAGCCTTAGCTAGACATCTGCCTCTGGTCAAATCAATGTCTTGTCCACAGGGAGGCCCAGTGCTGTTTCTAGTTTTAGCTGGATCCAGGGTGTCAGACATGGCAGGCACCACGGTCTACCTGGCGGGTATCAAAGAGTTGGCCGACATTCTCTCAACCACCTAATAGGTCCCAACCATGTAAGGCCAGTAGTAAAGGAGTTTGCAGTTCCATTTCATAAACCAATGAACAACCCCAAAGAGACAGTGTCTAACATAAAAGAGCAGCCATAAAAATATACATATTTTTATGTATATTTAATAGAAGTTAAACATATTTAATAGAAATATTAAAATAATCATTACACTTCCTCTCATTGCGGAAACCATGAAAGAATAGGCCTTTTGTAATCAAAGTAATAATTTTTTATCATGCAAAAAGGTATTTTTGTTATGACATTCATAAGTAGAGACTATATTTTAAAACAAGTTTATACAGACTTCAAAAGGTCTAAAGTCAAAGAGAAAGTAAAATATATTTAAATATGATTAGTTACATTGTAGGCAGGTGGCATACTCAAATTCACAGTTTATAAAGTAAAAAAACTAAACTCTTCATGTCAGCTCTGAAATAGATGCATTTTCATTAATACATTCACTAGTTAGGTCTGTTCTTCTAAGACAGGAGGAAAGACAGATATATGAGATATTATTTAGAGAACAAACTCAACATATCAGCAGCAAATTTCAGTTAAACTAAATTGGAAACCAATGTTCTGCATAACCAAAGTGCAAAGTCAGTTCTCCAGCTCAGAATGAGAATTAAGAGTATAAACTGAAGGCTTAAGAGAACTTCAGAGAGCATACTGTGTGGTGATTAACACATAAATATTAAAAATAGAATTATCAAATTTTTGATTGAAGAACACCACAATTTTGATCTAGTCATTAAAACATATGCAGAGGCGTCAAAGGCAAGTAATGCTACCACCTAAGTTTATTCAGAGGAACTGTGAAGATGTAGCACGGACCTCCAAGGTGTCTTTCTAAAATCCCTTCTGATGGAAAGCTGATGGAAAGCTTACGGAACACTATCTGCCACAACACTGAAAGCACCAGTTTTATACTTAGATACAACGCTGAGTGATATAGTCACTGTTGTGATAGGTTTTTATTTGGGAAAATGGAGAGGATTCTCAAAACGGATTCATGGCTTGCATGTAGCGACACCATACCAAGAGCCTGGAGAGACAGCATGAAACCACCTCAACTCGGGGGTGGGCCCGCCTATTCAGAGTCAGTGTTACACTAGCCAGCTCTAGGGCTCTGACAACATCGTGAGTTTTGAGAGAATATACTTTAAAGAAAAAAAGAACAGTTTATTTTAAAGTAACTAAATTATATTTCAACTTCGCATAATTAACTGCAGCATATTTACTTCATAGCCCCTTAATAAACATGTCACTTTTACCAATAAAGCTTTTTCCTTCATATTCTAATCACAAAAATTTCTCAACAATTTATAACTAGTAACAATCTACAAATCTGACCTTGCAATAAATAGTCATAAAACATTATTTTTATTTTATTACTATTATTATTTTTAGAGACAAGGTCTCGCTCGCTCTGTTCCCCGAGCTGGAGTGCAGTGGTACGATCACAGCTCACTAGCCTCAAGTGATTCTCCAGCCTCAGCCTCCCAAAGTGCTGGGATTACAGGCCTGAATCACCACACATGGCCTTGAAACATTATTTTTAAAGCCTAAATTTCAGTTGGTATGGTACCAAAATTTAGTTTAACTTCAAAATTCACAGTACTGCCGAGCAATGGGTCCTGAGGTTCCAGAGAAGTGGGGAGTGAATTCATTCCTGGTGGTTTGATTCTGGCAGCATGCACGGGAGATCACATGAGTTAGGGGCTGTCGCCTGGTATCAACACTTCAAGCTGTTGTACTTTTACTTCAAGTTGAAACTTTTAAAATACATCTGTCATATAGATGTACAAATATATGTAGATGCAAACATATATACACACTTTTGGACAAAAGGATAATGGTAATATACATGAACCATTTTTGTAAATAGATTCTATTTGGTTAATAAAAATACTCCTTCCATCAATCTATCGAAGTCCAGACCAACTATGAAGATAGGATGCCCATCCAGAAGAACGGGAAGCATTTTCTTCCTCACCTTTGGAAAGTAAAAAGAGAGTATTAAAATTTCTCAATGTAAAATCTGTATTTTAGAACCACTCTACAATATAAGCAAATAATGTCTTTTTTACTGATTACATGCCTTTTTTGGGGGCCGGGGGGTTCTTTTTTGTTGAGACAAAGTCTTGCTCTGTTGCCCAGGCTGGAGTGCAGTGGCGTGATGAGACTTCAATGCAGCCTTGGTCTCCCAGGCTCAAGTGATTCCCCCACCTCAGCCTCCCAAGTAACTGGCACCATAAGATATGTGCCACCGTGCCTGGGTAAGTTTTTTTTTTTTTTTTGTAGAGATGCGGGTCTCACTGTTTTCCAGGCTGGTCTCAAACTCCTGGGCTCAAGTGATCCTCCCACTTCAGCCTCACAAAGTGTTGGGATTATAGCCGTGAGCCACTGCATCCATCCATATGTCATCCTTTAGACATATTACTTACTAAATTTCTCTTTTTAAAGGATATACTGAATTTCTGGTTGAGCCAACCTAACAGCTACTTTTATTTTAGCTTTAAAACATTGATAAGCAACATGAAGCAATCTAGAACTTAACCTCTGAATGGCTTTATTAAAGAAATCCAGCTATGAAAATTATGCAGAAATGATTCTCTACAAACAATCCTACCAGCACATAAGAAATTCTTCCTCCATTCTGAAATACCATCTTCTCATAACATACTTTGATGTTATGAATCAATGTCTGTTCTTGAACATTATTTATTGTCTTTCTCTATTAAACAATTCCAAAATAAGATTTCTAGCACAACTAAACATTGCTGACAATAAGAGAATGAAAAATAAAATTCTTTTAAAACAGAAGCTTATATGCAACTTGGAATCTAAAATCAATAGATTTATGGTAAACCTTAAAACTTAACCAAAACAAACAAAAACTAAAGTTTTAATCATTTAAAAATCATGTTTATTGAGGTACAACTTACTTATAGTAAAACCTGCCCTTTTCAGCATATAGCACTGAGTCTTGACAAATGCACAGTTACGTACCATTACTGACCAAGGCCTGGCACATTTTCACCTCCTCAAAGTTCCCCCTGGCTTCTTCTCCCACTCTTTGGCAACCACTAATCTGTTTTCTGTCCTTACAGTTCTGCTTTTTTCAGAATGTCATATAAGTAGAATCACACTGTACGTAATCTTTTGAGTCTGACCTCTGTCAACTGGCATAATGCATTTGAGAATTATCCATGTACTGGCAGTGCATTCTATTTTTATTGCTGAGCAGTATTAAACTGCATGGCTGTACCAGTTTGTTTATTCATTTGCTAGTTGAAGGATAACTGAGACTTCCTAGTTTTTAGCAATTTTAAAGAAAGTTTCTATGAATAATTGTGTACAGGTTTTTCATGAAATGTTTTGGAGATATAATTCATACAGCACATAATTCACCTTTTCAAAGTGCACAGTTCACTGGTTTTTAATGTATTCACAAGGTTTGTGCATACGTTTCTGTGTGAATACTGGTTTTCATTCCTCTTGGATAAAGATATTTAATTTGGTATTACCCTTCCAGACACCTGTGTTTTCATACATATACATGTACCACAGTTTGATCTCAGGCAGAGAAGCATTTTCAAAATTTTACATGGGGAAACTCCTTCTAGAGTTAAAGCCATTTTCATTTATTTTTCTGTTCTGTCTGGTTTTATCTGCATATTATTTACAATCGGCTGCGTAACAAATTACTACAAACTTAGTACCTTAACACATTTCACAGTTTCTGTGGGTCAGGAGATCAGAAACGGTTCTGTTTTCAAGGTCTCTCACAGGGGTGCAATCAAGATGTTGGCATGGCTGGGGTCTCATCTGAAGGTTGGACTGGAGAAGAATCTACTTCCAAACTTATGTGCTAGTTGGAAGAATTTAGTTCCTCAAGGCTGCTAAGCTGATGGCCTGTTCCTTGCCTATGGGCCTGTCTGGGATGGTAGCTTGTTTCATCAAAGTGTTCAAGCAATGAAGGCAGAGAGAGTCTGCTAGCAAGATAGAAGCCACAATCTCTTGTAATTTATCACTTTTGCTGTATTCTACTGGTTAAAAATAACTCATTAGGTTAACCTACTGGCTCTCAAGGGGAAGAGATTATACAAAGGCATGAATTTCTGGAGGAGTGAATGAGGGCAAAGAATTCTGAGAAGTCTGGCTTCCACAATCTTTAGAACTTCTAGAAAGTAAGAGGAAGAAATAATGCTTAGAGATGGACAACTTGGCACTGGTTATGTGTTCCAAGTGAGGTAACCTTGTTTCCAAGAATAAAGAGAACCAGATGACTGTAAACATTTCCCTAAACTGAAATGCAGACTGCTGTATGTTCACCTGAAATGAATGGTATAAGCCGAGTATAAGATTTTTGACAAAATAAAAATTTTGCTGTGTTCTCAGATCTGGCAGGCCCCTGCCCTTGTGCAGACAATGTTCCTGGCAGCTATTCATCTCCTTAGGTAAATAAGAACTGGAGAAAAGTTGTGCCGAGATAGGGTGCATTTGCTTTTGCCTTGGAAGGTCATTTTCTGATAAGGTTCTATATCCTCTGCAAATCAAGTCAGGTACTTATAGCGAGTATGCATTCTCCTCCTGCCAGTCTGGAGATGATCAAAAAGCATATAACAGGTTGGGCGCGGTGGCTCACGCCTGTAATCCCAGCACTTTGGGAGGCCGAGGTGGGCGGATCATGAGGTCAGGAGATCGAGACCATCCTGGCTAACACGGTGAAACCCCGTCTCTACTAAAAATGCAGAAAATTAGCTGGGCGTGGCGGTGGGCGCCTGTAGTCCCAGCTATTCGGGAGGCTGAGGCAGGAGAATGGCGTGAACTCGGGAGGCGGAGCTTGCAGTGAGCCGAGATTGCGCCACTGCACTCCAGCCTGGGCGACTGAGCAAGAATCCGTCTCAAAAAAAAAAAAAAAGCCTATAACAGGCTTGGTCTATTTTCCTATTGGGTTGTTGGGCTTTTTTTCCTCTTTATTTACTTGTATAGAGTTTTAGACCTCTGTGTATGTATGGTGTACAAGTGACAATATTCAGATCTGTAAATTGTAACCCAGTCTGGGAGCAAAGAAGATACAGAAAAATGACTTACTTTCTGCTTGAGTAGTAAAATTGAGATTCAAATTTTGCATACAGAATTACTATATGGCTAACTTACTTGGGGAGCAAAGCTGACTTACCAAAGTCTATCTCAAATAGAAATGAAACAATTTGTGAACGATGCTGAATTTTAATGTGTGTGGGGGCAGGGTGAATGAACATTTGTGATACAAGGAGAAGAGCAATCTACACTTAGCAGTATCTATTTGACATTAATTGTTCGGGGACTACTGCTACACTCTAAGTCATTTTACCTTGTAACACAGAATTGTAACAGGCTACTCTGAGCAGCTCATGCCATCTGCTTGAAATTTAATGTGTTTATTTATAAAGAGTTTGTGTTTATTTGTTTCTTTATAAGGAGTTTGATGCTGCTTTTCAGAGTTGGGTAATCTACTTTACCCCCTAAGCTAACGTTTCCCAAATACACCCAAACCCACAGAAAGGAAAACTATTCCCCATAAACTTACAGCCAACATCATAAACATTTTATATCTAGAGCTGATGATACAGTCAGGTATTTACCAACACTCATGCACATATGTAGAGTTTCAAGAAATAACTGCTTACCCTTACTAACATATTCTAATGTCTGACATACTATTTTAATTTTTTTTAAAAAATGGGATTTTACTCTGTCGCCCAGGCTGAAATGCAGTGGCATGACCAGGATTTCAACCAGAAGTTTGACTGCAGCCTCAAATTCCTTATAATAAACAATCCTGCTGTCTTAGCCTCCTGAGTAGCTAGGACTACAGGCACATGCCACCACATCTGATATTTTCTAAAATTTTTGTAGCCATAGGTTCTTGCCATGTTGCCCAGGCCGATTTTGAACTCCTGTCCTCAAGCAATCCTCCTGCCTGGTATTCCCAAACTGTTGGGATTACAGGTATGAGTCACTGAGCCCAGCTTGTATTCTTCTGATTAAAAAAAAAATATTCTGAATGTGATCCACCAAATTAATTTCACCATCCACTAATAGGTAGCAACCTGAATGAAAAATACTGTTATAAACTTTAGACAAAACCAGAGATTACAAACATTTGCTTCCAAGGAGATGAAGGAGGCAAGAGGTACTTGTTTGCTCTGATGGGCCCTGTTTCCTTCAGTGCCAGGAAGAGTGGCTCTCAGACCTTTAGTACTTTCAAGGCTTTGGTAACAAAATGCCCCTAGTGTGACCAGTCAGGCTGACAGTCCACACCTGTAATACGGTGGTTACGTTTCCTTTGCATGTCTTTCTTTCTTGCATCTTAGACTTTTTACCTAGGAAATTTTCTTTTTGCTTGGAGTACATCATTAAGAATTTTCGATGGGCCGGGCGCGGTGGCTCAAGCCTGTAATCCCAGCACTTTGGGAGGCCGAGACGGGCGGATCACGAGGTCAGGAGATCGAGACCATCCTGGCTAACACGGTGAAACCCCGTCTCTATTAAGAAATACAAAAAACTAGCCGGGCGAGGTGGCGGGCGCCTGTAGTCCCAGCTACTTGGGAGGCTGAGGCCGGAGAATGGCGTGAACCCGGGAGGCGGAGCTTGCAGTGAGCTGAGATCTGGCCACTGCACTCCAGCCTGGGTGACAGAGCGAGACTCCGTCTCAAAAAAAAAAAAAAAAAAAAAAAAAAAAGAATTTTCGATGGAGGCGAATTCTTAAAAGGTTTTGTTTTCCAGAAGAGATCTTGGAAAATATAAAAGGTTGGCAGTTATTTCTTTTAGTACATGAGATAGTATCACCCCAATGGTGTTGAGAAGTCTATTGTGAGGCAATGTGTCTTCTTTCTCTGGCTGCTTTTGAGATTTCTCTGTCTTGTTTATTTAGGGGCAGTTTTACTCTTATGTGACTAGAAGTAGATTTCTTCTTTTTTTTAAATACTGCTTGAGATTTTATTGGGTTTTTGAATCTGTGGATAGACATCCGTCTCCATTTCTAAAAGATTTCTAGCCATTCTCTTCATAAATGATCTGTGCTCTATTCTTTTCTCTCCTTTTAGAACTTCAATTAGTAAAAACATGTTTGATGTCTTTATTTATCCTCTGTCTTTTCCCATTCTTTTTCTTTTTTGTTTCTCCCATGCTGAATTCTGTGTAATTTCTTCTGAACTATCTTCTAGTTTACATTCTCTTTTTTTTTTTTTTTTGAGACAGAGTTTTGCTCTTGTTACCCAGGCTGGAGTGCAATGGCACCATCTTGGCTCACTGCAACCTCCACCTCCTGGGTTTGAGCGATTCTCCTACCTCAGCCTCCCAAGTAGCTGGGATTACAGGCATGTGCCACCACGCCTGGCTAATTTTTGTATTTTTAGTAGAGACGGGGTTTCACCATGTTGGCCAGGCTGGTCTCGAACTCCTGACCTCAGGTGATTCGCCCTCCTCGGCCTCCCAAAGTTCTGGGATTACAGGTGTGAGCCACCACACCCGCCCTTACATTGTCTAAATCTGTTGCTAAACCATCATTGCTTTTAATTGTTATAAGGTGTCTTTTATGTACTCACATTGATAAGAGACAAGTAGTAAATAATCTCTAAAGGGCAAACTAATTTAAATGTAAGTGTTTTCCTGTATGTTTACAGGACTTAGCAACTATGCACATCTTCGAGTTCTGGGTTTCTAATGTATATCTCCTCTATGATACTCTTTAAAAATATGTTATTGGTATCCCTTAGGTTAGTCTCTTTTAGAACTTCTAATCAACGGACGCTTAACTTACAGGAGCCACCTGGATGTTAGCAACATCCACATTAAATGTGCTGAGCTTTTAAAAGAGGGCTGTTAGACATGCTAAGTATTTTGAGATATCATTGTTCTATTGAAAACTATTGAAAACTTTAATTTTAAAATGCAAACGTTCTTAAAGTCCTGGTTAATTTTATAATTATAAAATTAGTTATAATTTTGAGATTTCTCTGTCTTGTTTTTATAGGGGCAGTTTTACTCTTATGTGACTAGAAGTAGATTTCTTCTTTTTTATAACTATAAAATTAGGTTTACTTTTGTTAGAATAAATTAAAGACAGTGAATTTGTAATTTGCAAATTTGTAATTGGAATAACTATTTACTAAAAATATACATGATGTATTCTCATTTGGGCTCTTGTGACAAAAATACTATTGTGGCTGTAGAAATCTAAGAACTGAGATTACTGTCAGTATTGAGAACATTCCTCCTTCATCATTAGAAAGACTATAAAAAACCAGATTCAAAGAAACTATCAATACTACTTATGAAGTACGTCTGTAAAAAAAAAAATTAAGCCTGCATCTTATCAGGCCTCTAGACCAGGGGTTCTCAAGGTATGGGCCCCAGACCAGAAGTATCAGCAACAAATTGTTAAAAATGCAGAATCTTGCGTCAGAAACTGGGGACCAGCAACTGGAATTTTAGTAAGTATACCAGATGATTCAGATGCCTGCTCAATTTTGAGGATGACTCTATCAGTTTAGTTATTAGGATTTACAGGGGATAGGGGAACATGTTAAAGAGCACCAACTAGATAAGGTCAATCAGTCAAAAGTAAGATGTCTGGACATTCTGGGCCTCCTGATGTCTTAGAAAGCACACAGTACTATCTATGATGTATTTTTGTCTATCATCCCACCCAATTGCACCTGGATCTTCCTATTTATAGGCAATTGGAACAAGTTCAGTGTTACCCTGTAATGATTAAAACCAGAATATAGGACTGCTATAGCATAAATGACCAGTTTCTTCAATTAATAAGTGGCACATTAAAAAAATATATTTATATATATAATTGTTATAGATTAAAAAAACAACAAAATGGCCGGGCGTGGTGGCTCACGCCTGTAATCACAGCACTTTGGGAGGCTGAGGTGGGCAGATCAAGAGATTGAGACCATCCTGGTCAACATGGTGAAAGCTCGTCTCTACTAAAAATACAAAAATTAGCTGGGTGTGGTGGTGCGTGCCTGTAGTCCCAGCTACTCGGGAGGCTAAGGCAGAATAATTGCTTGAATCCAGGAGGCAGAGGTTGCAGTGAGCCGAGATTGGATCACTGCCCTCTAGCCTGGGTAACAGAGCAACACTACATCTCAAACAAACAAAAAAACAACAACAAAATAAAGCTTAAGGAACATCAACCAAATGCAATATATAAGCCCTATTTAGGATACTATACAAAAACATTCACAATAACCCAGGCAAAATGAACATAAACTGGGTATAGATGACAAAGAAATCCAATAAACACTGAATTATTCATTGGGCAAATAAATGATGTGTGGGATTTGTTTTAAAGTCTCTAACTCTCCCCTGTTTGTGCCAAGATTGTCCATGAGTTGAAAACTGTTAAGAGGTGGGGGACAGCTACAAGAGAGATTATAGTGTCCTCTTTGTATGCTTGAAAATGTCAACAATAAAATTTAAAACTAAAAATAAAAATGAAACCATAATTCTTAAGATGCAGTTTGAATTAACTACAGCAGCTGTATGTGAAGCATTTCAAAGGAGTTAATGACATCACAGTATTAAATCCATCTGACATGGAAACTAACTCCAACTACATCACAGTTTTTTTTTTTTTGAGACGGAATCTTGCCCTGTTGTCAGGCTGGAGTACTGTGGCGTGACAGATCACTGCATCCTCCGTCTCCAGGGTTCAAGTGATTCTCCTACCTCAGCCTCCCAAGTAGCTGGGACTACAGGTGCACGCTACCATGCCCAGCTAATTTTTGTATTTTTAGTAGAGACGAGATTTCACCATGTTGGCCAGGATGGTCTCGATATCCTGACCTCGTGATCTGCCCGCCTCAGCCTCTCAATGTGGTGGGAATACAGGTGTGAGCCACCGGTGCCTGGCCTATGGCACAGTTTTAAAACTGCATTTGCCTAGAAAGTGGATTTCTGTATATAGACCAAGTGTTGGGCTATATGACTCCATTGTCTTAGGCTATTTGGGGTTGGAGGAGGGAAGAGGGGTGAAGTAGAAAAGGAACAAGCTAACAAATGTCTTTTAAAAAGTAGAATTTAAAACAAAACCACATTCAACTGAACACCAGAACTCAATACCAGGATACAAGTTCAATTTTCAAAGAGCTAGAAGATCAAGCTAAGCACTGTATTGTATTTTGCTGAACGTTAAAATGACATAAATGTACTACAATTGCCTAAAGATGTTAAAAAAGTCAGCTTTTCAAATCTAGTCATGGCCTACTCATATGATAAACCCAATCCAAATGAGCAAAATTTAAAAGTTACACATACAGACAAATTCTCAACCACAAGGCTGTTTAGTTTAAGTTATAAGTTAGAAGTTCTAAGACTCTCCTTTTACCCACCTTGAGCAATCGCAGCAAGTTTTCCCTTTTCTTCAGGGCTGAGCTGCAACATTGTATTTATAACAGGAAGAAGTCTTTCTCTTTCACTACCTGGTTTCAGGAAAATGAACTGTAGCAAGACATTCTTCAAGTATTCCAGGTTAGCTGCAGACTTCTCTCGCTCTTGATTCCTTTCTAATCTTCTTATTTCACTTTTGAGAAGCTGGTGTTAGAGAAATGAATTAAAAATGGGCTTTAGGAGCTTCTGATTAAATATGGCAGACTGAACTCATGTATTTTTCTTCTCCTCCCCGCTAAACGTCCCCCTTCCCTCCATATGGCAATAAAGGAGGGAATTCAGTTAACTATAGCAGCTGTATGTGAAGCATTTCAAAGGAGTTTATGACATTACAGTATAAAATCCATTTGACACGAAAACCTGAACTCCAACTATGAGATAGTTTCAAAGCTGCATTTGCCTAGAAAGTGGATTGCTGCATATGCACCAAGTGTTGGGCTATATGACTCCACTGTCCTAAGCTATTTAGGGTTGGAGGGAAGAGGGGTGAAGTTGAAAAGGAACAAGCTAATACAAGAGGAGGAAAAGTAGATGAGACACGTCAAGAAATTCTCACAAGATGAGAAACAGACGAAGAAGTGGAAATGAGTCAGTCCAGCAGCTTAACAAGTATCACTGACAAGAGGAGAGGATGCATCCTGTGTAAATACTGGGGTTCTTGCTTCAGAAGCACAGGGTATCATGGAAATTGGAGTTGAAAGCTGGGGAACTAATGGAATGTCTACATGAGGAGCAACTAACTGGAGCCATGGGTTGGTACCAAGATGTTTCCTCTGCCTTCTACTTTCTACAGAAACTAAGCCTGTATGGCATGGGGCTCTGACAATGGGCTGAGGGGAACATCTGTAGCCTCCACTAACTCCCTGCCCCTATCTTGTTCCTAAAGTCCCAGGCAGTTAAGACGTCCACAGTGAATGGCACTTAATCAAAAGTTCAGACACAGTGAAAATTCAAGAATATAAGACAATGTAAAACACTATCAAAGAAATGAGGCAAAGAATGATATAAAAAAGGTAACAGCATGTTCAAGTCTTTGAGGAAGATTTCCAGGTTGAAACCAAGCCGTGGCTTTTAGCATATTTTCATTTTAGGTTAGACAAGAAAGTTAGCCAACTTTGTCCTAAAACCTAGGACCATTTAAAAAAGTGACAATAAAGACGACTAAGAAATTATCAAGAGAGTATAAATTCATGAAAATATAACATTTGGCCAGGTGGGGTGGCTCATGTCTGTAATCCTAACACTTTGGGAGGCTGAGGCGGGCAGATCATGAGGTCAGGACATCAAGACCATCCTGGCCAACATGGTGAAACCCTGTCTCTACTAAAATACAAAAAATTAGCCGGGCGTAGTGGTGCGTGCCTGTAGTCCCAGCTACTTGGGAGGCTGAGGCAGGGGAATCGCTTTAACCTGGGAGGCGGAGATTGCAGTGAGCCGAGATCACACCAGTGCACTCCAACCTGGTGACAGAGCAAGACTCTGTCTCAAAAAAAAATAAAACATTTAAATAAGTAACTTAGGTTTACTGGGCTAGTTAGTGATTTGTTAGCTATGATGTTTTTATTAGTGTGAAAATGTTATTTTATAGAGATGCATACTGAAGTATTTAGTGGTGGAATGTCAAGATATATTCAATTTACTGAAAATAACTGAATTCAGCTTTAAAATAATCTGACAAGGATAGCTAGTGGCCTTGCACAGTGGCAGGACAGATCTATTAGGTGCAGCAAAGTACAGGGGAAAAGTATGTACTTTTCAGACAGCTATGAGTTTGAACTTTGTTCCACCATTCACCAGCCTTAATTTTTCTCTCAACCAGTGATGAGATTAAATAATATATGTAAAGCCTAGGGCCTGGGTCATAAGAACTCCCAATAAGTAGTATGACTGTATTCTGAGGGGTGATTATCAGTGAGCCAGGGTGGAAATATCTCATTTGAGTAATTCTCAACTGCTCTACAACATTCCTACATGTTTCTGGTGTCTACTTGAAACAGGAGAAAAACTTCCCATGCCACTTTGCCATCTCCACTTGAAAACTGTTTAGTAGTTCAGTACCATAAATATCATGTGAATGATTTAAATTTACTGTTTATCTTTAGAATTCAAAGACTCACACCCAGTTAAGTTTTATTTAAGCATATGTGGAATAATGACTTATGATAATCTCTCTAGTTTCTACATCTATTATGGTTTCTTAGAAAAAGTAGGAATTAAGAAATAATCTTTATGTAATAGGTATAAAAGCAATATTTTGGCCGGGCGCAGTGGCTCATGTCTGTAATACCAGCACTTTGGGAGGCTGAGGCGGGCGGATCACAAGGTCAGGAGATCGAGACCATCCTGGCTAACACGGTGAAACCCGGTCTCTACTAAAAATACAAAAAAATTAGCAGGGTGTGGTGGCGGGCGCCTGTAGTCCCAGCTACTCGGGAGGCTGAGGCAGGAGAATGGTGTGAACCCGGGAGGCAGAGCTTGCAGTGAGCCGAGATTGTGACACTGCACTCCAGCCTGGGCGACAGAGTAAGACTCTGTCTCAAAAAAAAAAAAAGAAAAGCAAAGCAGTATTTCTCACCATCAGGAATCTAATATAAAGATCAAGATGTTATGGATGCATCTGCAATGTGAATTTTTAAACTTGGGTGCCTGTGTATGGAGGACCAAGAAAACCAAACTGGCGGTTTTCATGGTGGCCAGGTTCGCTGATCTCACCTTAATTTGCTCCATGAGGATTGCATTGGTTGCTTCTGTTTCCCGAAGCAGGCCGTTTAAGTGATCTGCACTTTTTGTGGTGGAACTGAGTTTCTGAACCAATTCTTCTTTGGTAAATTCGGCATGCCATAATGGAGGCTCTGCAAGATGTTCCAAGAATTAATTTTCAAAATCACAGATACAGATGAAGATTCTAAATGAGAAAACATCTAAATATAAATATCTTACTATGTGATATTTTATAGGTCTGCTTTCTTTGCCATTCATCTATTCAACATACCTTGATCAACAGATTATATTGTAGGTGACACAAGTAAAACAGTATCTCTGTTGTAAAGCATGTAATCTAACTGAATATAAGCCCTATAAGTCCCAGTTCTGAAATTTGTCAGAACTGTGTTTATAGGCAGTTTTATTACACATTTTCTTCCCATCTATGAATATTCCAAGACTTTATGTCATTTCACTTATAATGAGGAAAGCATGAACATTTACTGGCCACGTATCATGTACCCTCATAAGAATCTTCTATCAGGTGGGGTAGGTATCATTATTCAAACTTTATAGACGATGAAACAGGCTCACAGATGACAGGTAATTTTGGCAGGAATCACAAAGTCAAATCGGCTTCTGGAGTCTGCTGCTGCTCTATCACGATGCCTCCATGTCACCACTACTAACTTTGCCTGAAGGAACCATGACTTGCAATTTCTACCCCACATAGTCAGTGACCATGAATACAAATGACCCTTACTCCAGGTGATCCTGAAGTTTCAGGAAGATGACAAACAGATTCCCCCTAAATTTTGAACAGTAATACTGATCATAGGCAAGAATAAAATATACCAAAACATCACTACAAAAATTTAGCATTACTTCACCAAGAGGAATAAACTGAAACTGTCAGTTTCTTGGAAGGGTGAGAAGATAGTTTATCCTGCTTTCTAATACCCACCACCTATTTGTGACTATAAACTTCCCACCACTTATTTATGGTTCAAACCTAGGGCAAGAGCTAGCATTTTATTTTAAAAAAGATTTGTTTTGTAATTTTCCCATTTGGACAGTGTGATGGTTAATGCTGGGTGTCAACTTGATTGGATTAAAGGATGCAACGTATTAATCCTGAGTGTGTCTGTGAGGGTGTTGCCAAAGGAGATTAACATTTGAGTCAGTGGGCTGGGGAAGGCAGACCCACCCTTAATCTGGTAGGTACCATTTAATCAGCTGCCAGCGAACATAAAGCAGGCAGAAAAACGTGAAAAGGTGAGACTGGCCTAGCCTCCCAGCCTACATCTTTCTCCTGTGCTGGATGCTTCCTGCCCTTGAACATCAGACTCTTAGTTCTTCAGTTTTGGAACTTGGACTGGCTCTTGTTGCTCCTCAGCCTGCAGACGGCCTAGTGATCGTGTAAGGTAATACTTAATAAGCATCCATCTGTCCATCCAATTAGTTCTGTCCCTCTAGAGAACCCTAATACAAACAGGTAGGGGAATACTGAAATAAGTTTTATTGAAGCAGCCCAAAAAAGCATATGTAACTTAGAGTAATAGTAATTAAATAAGACAAAGAAATTAAATAAGAAAAACATATTTAGATAGAGTAACATACCAAGTTTAGTTTCGGGAGAATTAAGCAGCTGCTCTAAAGACTGTGTATATGTGCTGGCGGAAGACACGGACTCAGTATCAGTTGTCTCCATGCCTTCTCCCTCTTCCCGGGTTACAGTGTGCATGTCTAGAAGTGGGAGGTCTGTGTTTCTCCTTTCTCGAAGGTTCTTCGAAGATTGTTGAGAGGAAACTGGGCCTATTAGATTTTTTTTTAAAGGTTAAGTGTGAGATTGTTCAAAATCTATTGATTCGACCTTACAGAGATACACAATAAAATGAAAATATCAAATGATAAGAGCAGAGGAATTAAGTAACTATAAGACAAGTGAAAGGTACATGAAGAATTGCTAAAACATTTCTTAAAATTTAGTTATCAAGGCTGGGCGTGGTTGCTCACACCTGTAATCCTAGCACTTTGGGAGGCTGAGGCGGGTGGCTCACGAGGTCAGGAAGTTCAAGACCAGCCTGGCCAAGATGGTGAAACCCCATCTCTACTAAAAATACAAAAGTAAGGCGGGCACGGTGGCAGGTGCCTGTAATCCCAGCTGCTGGGGAGGCTGAGGCAGAGAATTGCTGGAACCCAGCAGGCAGAGGTTGCAGTGAGCTGAGATCACGCCACTGTGCTCCAGTCTGGTGACAGAGCGAGTCTCAAAAGAAAGAAAAAAAAAAAATTTAGTTATCAAATATCAAACTTTTAACTACGTTAGTCATTTTAGCAGAAGCTATAAATTAATTGCTACTAGCTAAGATAAACTGTGAGATAACACAGCTCATAATACAGTACTACTTGTTTTTTATTAATTTAGAGTACAGGGCCATACTGCTGCTAAATACTGGCCAAAATTAAAAAAACTAGATTCTAGCAATTTTTCGGGATTAGGTATTTGAGATTGCTGCATACTTCTTGAAACACACTTGCTGAAATCTGCTCGGCAGACATCCTTGATCACTGCCCTTATACCTTTACCTCTGCAGCTTCTTACCTGTTGCTGCTCATACCTACAGTGTTCATACAGTAAGAGCCCAGAATCCAGAGCATGGAACTAACCAATTACATTGTCCAGCAAGACTTTCCTGTTTGCTGATGAACTGTAAAGTGCTTTTTTTTTTTTTTTTCCTGAGACAGGGTCTCACTCTGTCACACAGGTTGGAGTGCAGTGGCACAATCTTGGCTCACAGCAACCTCTGCCTCCCAGGCTCAAGCCATCCTCCCACCTCAGCCCCATGAGTAGCTGGGACTTACAGGTGCATGCCATCCTGCCCAGATAATTTCTGTATTTTTAGTAGAGATGAGGTTTCACCATGTTGCCCAGACTGGTCTCAAACTCCTGGCCTCATGTGATCCACCTGACTTGGCCTCCCAAAGTGCTGAGACTGCAGGCGTGAGCCACCATGTCTGGTCTAAACTGTCAAGTTTATCAGGCCTTTTGACATCTATTAGTTTATTGACCCTGAAACATCTGAAGTTCAGATAAATTTAATGACTTTGCCCAAGGTCTCATAACTGAGTTAGAAACCAGAATTGTAATCTAGATTTTTAAACTTCAGATTTCATTTATTTTGCATTTCATTAAGTTGCCTTAGGCCTCACTGCCCTTTCTAAAGCATTTTCCTGAGTTTCTGATAAGCTGACTGCTTATTCCACTGCTAATTCCTAGATTACAATCTCCTGTATGACCTTTGCCCTGGCCAATTCTTTTGTTGATTCTTTGGCATATGTTAAATTATCTTGAAGTTGCTTTTTTACCCTAATAAGTGACCGATAGCTGCTAATGCTCCAGTGACAGTATTTCCCGTGGGAAACCAAAACACCATCAACTTGCTACTAAAATACTGCATCATCATGGCTGACATTTTTCCACTTCTTCCTGGAAGCAGAATGGAAGACACTGGGTGCGGCTGAACTAAAACTCCAACTAGTTGTAAATGTGAAAGGAAAGAAGCTATATTGGCCATGCAATTCTACACATTCAGTGCCGCCTGAGTGTTTCTAAGCTCCTTGCTCTATCTCTAATGTTTCTATTTAAAAAGTAGACAAACTTGATGACTAACAACAGAGAACGCGAAACAAATCTGGTGAATACTAGAATTAAGACATATGTCACGAGACTACCAGAGTATGTTTAAGTCAGAGAAAAAGAAATACTCCTTTCCATTGAGGGTAAGAAATACATCAAAGTCAGCATTCTAAGAGGTTATACAGGCCTCTGTAAGTATAATCAAGGAAGGATTCAGATGGTTCAAATATCTTCCTAGTAAGCAAATCCAAAATTCATTAATCACAGAATTGACACTGGTGACACCTAGTAAATTTTCTTTCTTATGAATTTGGAAGAATGTATTTAAGAGACATAAATACACGAAAATTTGAACAACTAATATTTCCATGTGTACATACATACTTCTTGTGGTCGGTTCATTCTTAAGCTGGAAGAGCTGTGCTTCCACCCTGGAGAGCTGCTGCTGTAATGTCTCCACTGTCTTTCTGTGCTCTTCCTGCAAATGTCGCACTTGATCTCGGAAGCTATTTCGAAGGACCTCATTCTGGGATGTTAGCTGACTCACAGTCTGTGTATGCTCAGACTTCATCATCATGTTCTCTGATTGTATGGAACACAATCTGAAAGATGAGAAACTTAGTTCACAGAAGATCTTTCTACTTTATATGTTGACTTTAGCCTTCCTCCACTGGGTTCTGCAAGAGAATCAGCTCTAAGACCTCTATTGAATGTATGAATCAACTTCTCTCCTACATACCTACATTGTACTCATTGTGTAATAACTTGATGAGAACTGACACTGGCTGTCATCTAGTTCAAATAATCTGCGTTCCACATTTCAGATGAAGAACCCCAGTTGAGAAACTGCGTTGTGTTGTCCAGACTAGGAACTTCATGGTTCATCAGAAAAAAGGACTATATTTAAAGCATAAAATAATTATACTTTTAATTAGTCCACTTCTTCATGTCATCGTATGTGGTAGCTCACATAAATATAAGATTAATCTCCCTTTTATCTACTACCCTGAAAATATAAGGGGGGGGAAAAAAAACTCACACTCTTGATTCACTCAGAAAACTTTAGAGGAAAGTATCCATTTTTGAGTCGATTGACACGAACCACAAACACAGACTTGGTTTACTATAGCTGTTTCAAATCTCACTGCACGTAAGAATCGCTGGAGTACCTTGTTGAAAATAGAGACATCTAGTTTTCATATTACACCCACTGAATCAGGATCTCAGTAGTATTCTAGGAATTCCCTACTTTTAGCAGTTTTCAATGTGATTTTTATGTGCTCAGCCTGAAACTAACCAGTGGGCCTACAATTTGGGAACCATCACATTTAAGGGTTTACCTGTAGTTTTCATGTTTTACATGTTTGGCTTTGGTAAAACAAAAGAAAACAAAAAAACATTTCCTTTTATACAGGGGATCCACATAATTCTCTCATAAAAATACAAAAGCTGTCAGAGAAAAAAGTAAAAGCCCTCATTAATTACTCTCATGCCTGGCAGGATGAAATCCCAATTCCACAGGTAGATAAATGTTGTTAACAGTTCAGCCTATACTTTTCCAAGACATTTTTTCTACCTGCTACACTTATGCGCACCATATAAGGTTTAAAACAGGGGTTAGTGGCTGAAGAGAGAAATGCAATAAAATACCATGTTTTAGAAAAGAAATCTTAATTACTAAGTTCATATTGATTAATGAATCTAGAAAATACTAGTATATACATATTTCTCTGCAAGCATTTTGTTCAAACAATATCTACCAAGAAAGTAAAGGAAGAACCATCGGTAGTTACAAAAATAGTCCAAGCAGGATAAATATTAGAGGTAGGGTAAAGTGTCTATTCTCAGGCAGTATCAGTGACATTTCTAAATTTACCTACTTGAAAGCTAAATATTTAAACCCCCCATCTGGAATAAGAATGACTGTGCTGATGGAAGTTCACTGTTCTGTCTCAGTTGTTACTGAAGTGTTTATATTAACTGTAGTCTCTGGGTAATACAGATATTAGTTAGCCTAATTATCACATTCCTCTGGAACCATTTTCACAATCTACTATAGAGAAAGTATAAATATTAAAACATTTTTAAAAGTGGAGACTACATAAAGAGGCTATTTCTTCATACTTGGGCACAGACAGTAACAATACTGTTAGTTTTTAACATTTCTGAAGAAGAGGAAAGACTCCTAAAGATACCTCAAAATGCTATGAAAAGTGACTGGCACATAGTAGGTGCTCAAAAAACACTTACTGAAAGATGGAATTACTTTAGAGGAATCAACAGTTACTTTATTTGTGTTAGCAATGTAATTTGCAATAACTTTCCTAAAGAATAAGTGTTGGAGAATATCAAGCAAACATCACCTAGATAATCTCATGGTAAACCCTGGTGATAGGCAGCTAAAAAACTGGTCCATCTCCCTGAAACTTTTGGTTTACATGATTGACAAGCAAATTACACTGTTAACAGACAGAAGCCACAAAAAGCTAAGTGCTTTCACTTTTCAAATTAGCATAAGATTAGATATATATTATATAAGAAAATCTGTGATAAAAGTATCTTAACAGCCTTGATAAAAGACGCTCAATGAAGAATTCTTTTTCTCAGCCTAATATTCCTACTACCCAATTTCTTTATCATAGGAGTTCAAAACTTCTTGTTCACAATCTATTTATTTTGCCAATACGCCTAATGTCTATTTAAAGTATTATAGTGATGAACAAAATATGACAAATTGAAGATAGAATTGCAAAGATAAGTTGCATATTCTTTTTCAGTTAGCAACTATTTGGGTGTTTTCTTCTTAAAAAAAAAATGCTTATGATTTGATACCTGGGTTGGAAAGTAGTATGTTTTTGTTTTTTTAGAGAAACATCCTAGCCAAGAAGGCTATAGGAGACGCAGAATATTGGATGAGCAGACAGACATTAGTTGTTCTTAAAAATGCAAAATACAAAAGCAACGTAAAAGGTGAAGCTCTAAGGTAGATAAAGCAAAGTTACCAAGCCTTTAGATAAGTCTATTTTTTATTTTCTCATCTGCATTTATCTCAAGGAGCAACATATTAGAAGTTTCAACAAAGAAATACATTGCTGTCTGGTACAGCGTTAGTGCTGCTAACAACCTTACTTTTCCCGGAGTTCCGCCTCTTTGGACACAGTTTCCTGAAGCATCTTGTTGTGCCTTTCTAGCAGTGTATCATGTTCAGACTGCAATGTTTGAAGTTCAGATACATTCATCTGTAAGTTATTTTGGCTATCTTGTAATTTGATTTTTAGTTGGTCAATCAGCATTTCCAGATGTTCCCTAAAACAGAAATACAGTTTTAAAATTTTTTGAAAAAGGTGAATTTGATTTTGTGGTTTTAAATATAGTTAACCATTTAATCTTTCAATGTCATACTCTTGGATGATTCTAAAGGAAATATAATAGAAGAATTCAAGACTAGGATTAAATATAATACAAAAGATACAGCCAGATTTAAAATCTTAGGCACTATAGATTTACAAAAAATTTCTCCAAAATTTAGAATTTCATATTCAAAAAGGGGCATCAAAATAGCCTATTTTATGTTACAGGACTACGTCAGCTAAAGAAAAAACGTCACGTTACTTTTTTTTTTTTTTTTTTGAGGCGGAGTCTCGCTCTGTCGCCCAGGCTGGAGTGCAGTGGCCGGATCTCAGCTCACTGCAAGCTCCGCCTCCCGGGTTCACGCCATTCTCCTGACTCAGCCTCCCGAGTAGCTGGGACTACAGGCACACACCACCACACTCAGTTAATTTTTTATTTTTAGTAGAGGCGGGGTTTCACCATGTTGGTCAGGTTGGTCTTGAACTCCTGACCTCAGGTGATCCGCCAGCCTTGGACTCCCAATATGCTGGGATTACAGGTGTGAACCACACCTGGCACACTCACAGTTCTTAAATTGTTGTTTTAAAAATGGTATGTCAGACCAAGTTACAGTGAAAGATAATCCCTGAAGAAAAGCAGGTCTTTTCAGACTTGGAAAAAAAACTAGGTGGAAATAGTTAAAATCCTAATTCTGCCACAATAAGTACAATACACTATTAGTTTCTTTTTTAAAAAATGTATTTATATTATAAGAAAGTAGAAGCAACACAAAACATTTACATTCATATAATCTGAACTCAAAATTTAGGCATGGTCAAAAATGGCTCTTGAAAATGGTGACCTTTTTTTATTTATGAAATGCATCAGTATCTAATTTCCCCTTTATATAATGGGCTACTGGAGAGAAAATACCATGTTTCAATCTACAGTCTCAATATTTAATAGATTCCTAAATGAAAGTAACAGAAACATAAACATACAAAAATCCATAATAATTAGTCTTGTTTAGAACAGTAAGAGTCAGATGTAAAACTGCTTTGAATACTGAACTGCTACTCAAAGACAAAACACAGATGCCATGGAATGCCCTATCTCTTACTCCCAGTGCAAACAGGATTTGTATGCTACTTTTAAAGCAGCATAAACAACATACCATTCAAATAGAACTGAAATGGTCATAAACAAGAAAAGTTTAATTCTAGACCAAAATTCAGTACGAAATTTAAAATTTTTTGAAATAAGTAAAATATTTTAAAGCAAATTCTGTTTAACCTAAATTAATGGCAAATAAGTATACTTTGCATTTTAATTTTCACTTCTGAATTTTCAAAATTGGAAAAACAAATCATAATGTAATTTTAATGCCGGTATTTCTACCATGACAAGATCTTATTAAGACCAGATTGAACTGTTAGCCTATTATCTCATATCCTGGCCTCACTGTGCACTTTAACATCTAATTTTAGAGTTTGTAACAGTGTCCTTTGTAATGAAGTTTCCCTGTTACTGTCTGCAGACACAGTGAAGCCAAGAAATCCTGTTTTCTTTGGTAACAATATACATAATTTCACAGTTAAAAATCATAATAGGATTTTAGGCTGGGTGCCATGGCTCACGCCTGTAATCCCAGCACTCTGAGAGGCTGAGGTGGGTGGATCATCTGAGGTCAGGAGTTTGAGACCAGCCTGGCCAACATGGTGAAACCCTGTCTCTACTAAAAATACAAAAATTAGCTGGGCGTGATGGTGCATGCCTGTAATCCCAGCTACTCAGGAGGCTGAGGCAGGAGAATCACTTGAACCCGGGAAGCGGAGGTGACAGCAAGCTGAGATTGCATCACTGCACTCCAGCCTGGGCAACAAGAGCGAAACTCTGTCTCAAAAAAAAAAAAAAAACCACACAAAAAAACCACACACAAAACATAATAGGATTTTCAATCTACTTGGTGAAGAACCTGCATTGTGGGAGGAAAATTCTGCATATTTAATTTAGACTTTACCTTTCTTGTTTAGCGCCCTCAGTTTCAGCCTGAGACATAGATTTATTTTTCTGTTGTTTTAGAACGTTATGAACTCGGACTTTGTAGCTCTCGAATTCAGAGGTTACAGTAGCTTGTTCTGCCTGTAACATTTAAAAGGGAGAAACGTTTTGTATTGTAACAGGGTCCTTCTATTTTCTTTCAGAGATGAACAAATTGAGATAAAAACCTGTTTTTTAAAGTAAGAAAAATGGCTGACATACTTTTTGGTTCCTTGATTAACCCTGCTAAAAAGTATACTTCTGTTGGCTTTACACTTAATTTTCTTTTCAATTGATACATAATTGTACATATTTATGGGGTGCATGTGATATTCTGATGGATACACACAATGTGTAATAAGCAAATCAGGGTAATTAGGATATACATTGCCTCAGATATTTATCAGGTCTTTGTGTTGGGAGGCCTTACACTTTTTAAAGGTCTCTCAATAATATATTTTTTTTCCTGATAAGAGATCCGTTTCTACCATGTCTTCTACCTTGGTAGATTAATTTACTAACCATACATTTTATAGTGGCACTATGTGCTTTTGGAACTTTATAAACATTTTCTCTTATGATATCCCTTTTATAAATTTGAGGCAAATTAACTCAAATAAATTATTTGAACTTCAGTTTTCAAAACAGGGTGGTAAGTGTTAAGTTCTAGGTCTTCCACTTTCCTGAAGTGATCTGTAAACTCCCACAACAGTGTTGCCATGATTGCTTAAATAAGACCTGCATCTAACACAACCACTGCACTTTGCCTGTTTTGGATGATGACAAGAAAGTAGGCCCCCACAGCCGTGCTACTAAAATGTTATTTTATCATCATTTAGCCCTCAGAAAGAAGTGTAACACCTTTCTAATAAAAAAAAGTTTTATAAAGAAGTGACACATAAATTGCAAAACAAGGTTGAAATGGAAAAAACATCATGTTTTTCCTTTTGGCAAAAAAAGTGATCCAAATTATGACAGGGGTTGGCACGGGATTGGGGTTAGAGGCAGATTAACTGAACAGGTCTTAATCTAATAAGTGCTCTTAACAGCAAAATACTAAAAAGGGAGAGCACAGCCCTGGAGTAAACACCAATGACTAGCTGACAATAAAATCCCAGTGGCTCGCTGTGGCTGCCCTGAAGAACGCACCTTGGCGGCACGACTCTCTTCCTGTAGCGCTGTCACTCTCTGCTGGTACGCACTTAGCGTACGCTGGTGCTGTTCTGCAGAGGTTTTCAGGTGCTCGTGGATTTTGTGTTTCTCTGATGTTATTTCAGCCAGCTGTATCTGGGGGTAAATCTTTAAATTTAGCTTTAGCAAATCCTACCTTCACTAGTTAAAGAGGTTTTCCTTAAAACAAACTTTAGGTTTGAGACATAAGTACATATAAGGCATAATTAAGTAGCGAAATATTTTTGTGTATTATTATTGAAAAAGAGACAAGTAGAACATTCTCACTAATTTATCTTTTCTTAAACCAACATCGATTAAAAAAAAAATGAAAATCCCAGACTACATATTTAACATACAATGTTTAAATACTTCAAGACATTATATATATAAAAATATATACAAATGTAGCAAACATAGAAAATCATTTTATAAACTGTTTCTTGTGACTGCAATATCATTTAGAAAGTTCAGATGCATGCTTATTTTGCACTATTCTACCGTGTATTACAAATTTCCAAATATATGAAAATAATCTAGCTTGAGCTAAACAATATACTCCAGTTATATACCAGACTTGATTTATTGTTGCAAATTCCTCAAAATGTTGAGGAATCTTTCTAGATATCCTCATAGGATAATTAGTAAAATCTCTGAATGGTACCTCACTTCTACATGAAAAAACATTTTTTTAATCTTAAAAAGTAAAAACCTTACTTTATAGACTTCTACTTGCTGCTGGCTTGCCTCCAGCTCACCTTTTAAAGATGCTTGAAGTATTAAGTGATCAGTTTCCTACAGAATGAGAATCTTGGTTAAATTTTTAAAAATGTTACTCATAAATAAATTATGAATAAGTACTAAAATATGAAACTGAAAAATTAACATACTGCTTGCTTTGAATCTGCCAGTTCCTTTTTGGTTTTCACAAGCAATTGCTTGATTTTGGTGTTTTTTTCTTCATATTGTTGTACTGAAGACTGTAATGAAGCTAGCACAAGAAATAATTTCAGCAGAAAAAGATGAAACATTTTTTATGAGTGAATTTGAATACACAAATAATGTCTTCTTTGTATTGGCTCATCTTTAAAAGAAGCCTGTTTTAGCTTTTTATTATGGAATACTTCAAACATATGTGACAGTAGTAACAACAGTGCCATAAACTCTACTGTACCCATCTCCCAGCTTTTACAATTACAATCCATGACTATCTCAGTTAACCCAGACAACAGCAAGGTACTTAAGAAATGTTAAAGTGAATAAATGTGGACTATAAACATCTTAATGGCAAACAGTTTTACACCCATTCTGGGCCCCAGTAACATTTATCCTGTTAAACACTTGACAGTAAAAGACTGGTGAAATAAACAAGAAATGCCCCCCACTAAATCAAGTTGTTATGATGAAATAATTAAAAGGTAAAGTGAACTTTATTTAACTCACTTATTTCTTCTTGTAGGGTTTCTTGTTTCTGTTTTTGAATTTTTATTTCTTGCTCCAAATCTTCTATCTTGTTGTTTTTATTACTTAACTTTTGATTTAGTTCTTTCATCAAACGTTCATAATCAGCTATTTCCATATTCATCAATGTGGTTTGTTGGGCATCCTGCACATTTTATCAATAAAAGATTTAGACAATAGTAGATCAGTTCATTTGTAAAATTGCTAAAATGATGCCACAGCAATAAATGGATGCTTTTCTGTAATACTCAAATCGTTTACATTGTAATGAAGAAATGAGGAGTTGGATATTTTCTAGTTTTTAATTTCACAAAATATTTTCTAATAGTTTAACCCAACTTTCTTAGTTTCATTTTATTTCATTGTAACGAACTACAATGGGCAGTTGTAGCCTGTGGAGCTCTTATTTATTAAATACTAATACTTCAAGTGGCTCTTATATACTAGTACATTTCTTTTTAGCCTAATCTTTGAAGGAGTAAAGTCAGCCAAAGTTTTAAGTATAATACAAATTTTAAGCTTTGACATTAATTAAATCTTAATGTGTCATACAACAATCATGTACACAAAATGAAATGTCAAACCAAAATCTTATAACTCATGAGCTTAGATTCTTCTGAAAGGACTGATACTTAGAGAAGTTAAATTTTCAATTTTTTGAGCAAGTAATTTATAAAGCATTATTTTAGTACCACAAGTAACATTCTAAAATATTTCTTTTCAACATGTATAGAATAGTTTAACAATGCAGGCTGGGTGCGGTGGCTCACACCTGTAATCCCAGCACTTTGGGAGGCTGAGATGGACAGATCATTTGAGGTCAGGAGTTCAAGACAAGCCTCACCAAAATGGTGAAACTCCTTCACTACCAAAAATACAAAAAGTTAGCCGGGTGTGGTGGTGCATGCATGGAATCTCGGCTACTCGGGAGGCTGAGGTTCAATAATTGCTTTGAACTCGGGAGGCAGAGGTTGCAGTGAGCCGAGATCAGGCCACTGCACTCCAGCCTGGACCACAGAGCAAGATCACAGAAAGAACAGAACAAACAGAACAACAAAACAGAACAACGTGAATATTACACCAATTTTGTTCCTAGTGTTTTATTTTACCTTTTTAACCAGCTCTAATTCTTGCATGGTTTTCTGAAGCTGTTTCTTTTCCTTTTGAAGTTGTACCTGAAGTTCTTCAAGTTCATTTACAGTAGTGGCATGTTCCTGAAATTAAAAATAAAAACAACCCACACAACCCAACCAACATTAAAAAGGTATTTTTAAGGGGCTTTAAAATAAATCTGACGGTCGGGCGCAGTGGTTCACACCTGTAATCCCAGCACTTTGAGAGGCCCAGGCGGGCAGATCACAAGGTCAGGAGACTGAGACCATCCTGACTAACACAGTGAAGCCCCATCTACTAAAAACACACACAAAAAATTAGCTGGGCTTGGTAGTGAGTGCCTGTAATCCCAGCTACTCGGGAGGCTCAGGCAGGAGAATGGCGTGAATCCAGGAGGCGGAGCTTGCAGTGAGCTGAGATTGTGCCACTGCACTCCAGCCTGGGCGACAGAGCAAGACTCCGTCTCAAAATAAATAAATAAATAAAGTAAATCTGACACACTAAAATACAAAAAGTTTGGTTATATTTCAATGTTTAAAATATATACACCCCCAAATCACAGCATGGATTCTCAAATTTATGGTTGGTATTAAGGAATTAATGAACTGTGCTGTATTCATAAATGCTACTCTTTAGTAAGTCTTCCTTTCATTTAAATATTTTGATAAATGCATCATATATATGTGAATCAATCTCGCAGGATTGTTTTTACCTTTATCTTCTGTTCTTTCTGAAGTTTTTCAGCTTCTAATTCTTTGTCTACCATTGCTTTGGCTCTCTGGACTTCTAAAATCTGTACTTCTAATAATTTGGCATTAGACTGTAGTGTCTCAATACGAGCCAGCAGATCTTCATTATCAGAATTTATTTTTTCACACTGAAATGACAAATGATTCATTACTATAAACATGCAGAAAACATATACAGCAGAGAAGAATGAACAGGTACATTAATGAGAATACTGGCATAGTGTGACAAATGAAGATTTCAAAGTCCATGCTATAGAACGATAATGTTAAATTAAGAATAAGTTTCAAAATCTGTCACTAATATGGTAAACCTTACAAGAGACCAGGTGCACTGGCAGAGTAAAGAGCAGAAATGAAAAACCCACCCCCAACCAACCAACCAATCCTCTAGGGGAATTAAGACTAGAATAATAAGCAAGATAGTTGCTAGCTGTTCCGTCTTATTCTTCTCTCACAAGTGGGGAGGAGGGTAAAGCAGGGGGTGGGGGGAATAAATTCTGTTTCCGACTATTTTTTTTTTATGTTTATGCACAAAGTATTGAGATTAAAATACACCTGTTATAGTTTTCATTTTTGAAGTATTGAGATTAAAATACACCTGTTATAGTTTTCATTTTTGAATTTATGCACAAAGTATTGAGATTAAAATACACCTGTTATAGTTTTCATTTTTGAATTTATTAAAAAATTACCTGTAAAGTCGAATTTCTTAGTTGTCTTGTAAGGTCTTCAACATGATGCTCAAAATTGTTAGCACGTTCTTTTTCCACATCCAGTTGCTCTGACTGCTTTTCATATTCTAATAAAAGATTCTTCAATAAAAGAAGGATTTAACTTTGGTATATTATTATGCATTCAACAGGTCAGACTTTATCATCAAGCCACCTTAAGATTCATGAGTCCATTCTGGATGCTTAAAATATTTACCCAAGTTGAACAGAATACCTAACTGGCATTAGGTAATAAAAACAGCACATTTTGGAAAACTTTTAGTATTGGAGGGTGGGGGAAATGTATGAAAGGAGAACATTTTAAATATAAACAATATAATAGCTCCAAGGTTAAATAGTCTACTCATTAACAACAATGAACTTCCAAAATGTAAACACAACTTAAGGATAGAGGATAAAAAGTTTAACCTGGATACCTAACTCCACCTGAAGAATTCTGATGAGAGAAATACTCCAGCCCTAGCCTAATATAAGGTAAAGGTGCTAATGAAAGAACACTGGAAGACATTCATAGATTTAGTCTCTCATACTCCGCAGTGACACTTTCAATATTTACTGAAGAATCCAAAGCCAACTGAATTTGCTTTGATATTCCCAGTTGGCCTACTGAAGGACAGAATGATCAGACTTTTTTTTGTCACACACAAGCTAATTAGGTTATCCACCAAAATATGTAAATGAGATTGTTTTGAGACTACATGTAGTTCTTCACGTTCTTCTCTCTCTCCTTCCTTATAAATCCTGTTTTTGCCTTTGTTTCTGGAAAACTTCTATTCTTCCCACAAATGTGCATGTAAAATTACTAGCAAAATGGTGTTTTTTTTTTTCCTCGAGGTTCATATTTATTGACATTTGACCTAGAGTCCTCAGCATAAGGAAGGCATAGCCCTGGGCCATGGGTAGGAAAATCAGCATCCTACTCTCTCCTCAATTCCATCTGTTAATCCACCAACCCAAATCCCTCCCACCCCACTTGTAGTCCAAAGAAGATAAAATGATAAAATGATGTGCTGCTTTCTCAACAGTCAGCTGAGTCTGAATTGGAGGGAAGGAAGTATTTGAAATTCTGCTCATTTAGTTCCAGAACAAGAAATAAGCAGAGGCAGGAAGTGGAGAGCAAAGATGCTGGCAGCCCTGCAGTTTGCTAGGTCTTTATAGCTGTGTCTCTGGATTTGTAGGCACTTCGACTTTTCAGCTCCCACACAATTCCTTGAGGCAGGCAACCAGTGACCGACACCGCATATACACCTGGCTTAAAGTTACTGACTCGCTGCCACTTGGAGACCTAGCTGTCCTCTGGACTCATCATCACAATGATATCATCAAAGGAAGAGCTGGTGGAGTCATACACCATCTCTCAGTTACCTTTCATTTGTAGATATGCATCACAATTGTCAAAACCATCACATTCAAACTGGTCTATAGTCTTGACCAGTCAACACAGCAAACAGGCCCGCAGATGCCGCAGGTCCTTCGGCACCATCTCCAGGGCCATCTTCTCTGATGGGAAGAGCAACAGAGAGGTAGATGGCCACAGCCTGCGCACCCGCAGGAAGTAAATGGTGTTTTTAAAAAAATTTTAACTTTTCATTTCGGGGGTACATGTGCAGGTTTGTTATGTAGGCAAACTTGTGTCACAGGGATTTGTTGTACAGATTATTTCACCATCCAAGTATTAAGCCTAGTATCCATTAGTTATTTTTCCTGATCCTCTCCCTCCTTCCACCCTCCGTTAGGCCCCAATGTCTGTTGTTCCTCTGTATGTGTCCATGTGTTCTCATCATTTAGCTCCCACTTGTAAGAGAGAACATTTGGTATTTGGTTTTCCGTCCCTGCATTAGTTTGCTAAGGATAGTGGCTTCCAGCTTCATCCATGTCCCTGCAAAGGACATAATCTCATATTTTTTTATGGCTGTGCAGTATTCCATGGTGTATATATACCAATTTTCTTTATCCAGTCTACCACTGACAGGCCTTTAGGTTGATTCTATGTCTTTGCTATCGTGAATAGTGCTGCAGAGAACATACGCGTACATATGTCTTTATTACACAATGACTTATATTCCTTTGGGTATATACCCAGTAATGGGATTGCTGGGTCAAACGGTATTTCTGTTTTTAGGTCTTTGAGGAATCTGTTTTCCACAATGGCTGAACTAATTTACACTCCCACCAAAAGTGTAAGTGTTCCTTTTTCTCTGCAACCTCACCAGCACCTGTTATTTTTTTGACTTTTTAATAGTAGCCATCCTGACTTAAGTGAGGTGGTATCTAAATGTGGTTTTATTGCTAGCACAGTGTTTATGTTTTCTTGCAAAGTTTACTTTTGGAAATTCCACTGAGATACTATGCGTAAAAGAGAAACGACATTAACCAAGAGGACTGTGAAGCCTGGCAGTGGCCTTCCTCTGGACCTGGACCTCTTACGTCCTTGGCTCACCTCTGAAGGCTTCTCTAGTGGGTTTTTTTTTTTTTTTTTTAAGATGGAGTCTCTGTTGCCAGGCTAGGGTGCAGTGGCGCGATCTTGGCTCACTGCACCCTCCGCCTCCCAGGTTCCAGTGATTCTCCTGCCTCAGCCTCCTGGGTAGTTGGGATTACAGGCACGCGCCACCACACCCGGCTAATTTTTATATTTTTAGTAGAGACAGGGTTTCACCATGTTGGCCAGGCTGGTCTTGAACTGACCTCAGGTGATCCACATGCCTCAGCCTCCCAAAGTGTTGGAATTACAGGCATAAGCCACTGAGCCTGGCCTCTGGTGGGTCTTCTGGGGCATTTACACTCTTTTGGATCGTGCTTGCCAGATCTTTTTTTTTTGAGATGGGGTCTTGCTCTGTCGCCCAGGCTGGAGTGCAGCGGCGCAACTTCAGCTCACTGTAACCTCTGTCTCCTGGGTTCAAGTGATTCTCCTCCCTCAGCCTCCCAAGTATCTGGGACTATAGGTGTGTGCCACTACAGCCAACTAATATTTGTATTTTTAGTAGAGACAGGGTTTTGCCATGTTGCCCAGGCTGGTCTCAAACTCCTGAGCTCAGGCAATCTGCCTGCCTAGGTCTCCCAAAGTGCTAGGGTAACAGGTGTGAGCCACCATGCCCGGCTCTTGCTTCCCAGATCAGATCCTTGACTAATGCACTTTTGTTTCTAATTCTGATCTACACATGGTGAATTATTTGACTCAACTGGTGGCTGACTGTTACAATCTGAATTTTGATTTTATAGTCTGTCCATTTAGTGATTTCGAAAAGTGGTAGAAGACAGCACTTGGGAATCTAGAATCTGGCTTTTTTTAAAATTTTTTTTTGAGACGTTGTCTTGCTCTGTCACTAGGCTGGAGTGCAGTGGTGCGATCTTAGCTCACTGCAACCTCCATCTCCCTGCTTCGAGCAATTCCCCTGCCTCAGCCTCCTGAGTAGCTGGGACTACAGGCACACACCACCACATCCGGCTATTTTTTTTGTATTTTTAGTAGAGAGGGGGTTTCACCATGTGGCCAGACTGGTCTTCAACTCCTAACTTCAGGCAATCCTCAAGCCACGGCTTCCCAAAGTGTGTTTTTGTACGCTTATTTATCTGAGTCTGCTACTTCCTGGCACACATGCACACAGGGCTGAGGTATCACTAGGGTCTTTTCTTTTCCATAGAAAGAAGATTCTGTGCTTCTTTTATATTTGGGTAGGCTCCTCTAAAAATCAGAGGTATTTATCCACTTAGTCTCTAACTGGCCTTCTTCATTTTTACTCATTCTGGTTCCATTGCTGTCAATAGCTGTAAAAACTGAATTGCTATGCCAAGGCATAATAAATAATGGCTCCCTATGGGAAATTCTGATTTTAATCAAGTATTATTCCTAAGGGGAGTCTTGGCACAAAAACGAATGCCAGGCATACAAGAGTCTACTTTTACTTTTCGTATGTAGGGTAGACACTTCTAAACATCTGAATAATTATAAATTATTGTTCCTCTAGGACTCCTGTATGTTCAGATCTTTTAATAAACTGATACAAGTTATTACAAGTGATGTGAACACTGAAAAAAATAGCCAAATTAACAAACTCCAAAATTATTCAGTATCTTTATAATGATGCATCCTGAAGAACTTAATAGAGCGTAGGTATATGTGTTTTTAAAAGTGATTAACATTCTTAAACATTTCAGCACTTCTGGTTCTACCTTAAATCCTGTCACATTTTTATACATGTTTATATTACATATGAAAATATGGTAATGAAATTTGAAAATTTAAATCTACACATGACAAAATTAGTATGCTCATATATAAAGATCTTATAAATCCATTAAAAAACCCATTTAAAATTTATATATGGGCTTCTTCATAAGAGTAAGTTACATGAGGAACTTGCTTCTTTACATTTTAAGAGACCCTATAATCAATTAATTTCTTCCAGAGGTAGATGAGGCATATCAATTTCAAATAGTTAAATCTTTCAATCTTTTCCTTTGTAATTCATTAAAATACTTTAGGTAGGAGTGCAGTGGTACAATCTCCCCGCTCACTGCAACTGCCACCTTCCATGTTCAAGTGATTCTCGTGCCTCAGCCATCAGAGTAGCTAGGAATACAGGCGTGTGCCACCATGCCCAGCTAAATTTTGTATATTTTGTAGAAACAGGGTTTCGCTGTGTTGGCTAGGCTGATCTCAAACTCCTGGCCTCAAGTGACTCACCCATCTCGGCCTCCCAAAGTGCTGGAATTATAGGCGTGAGCAACTGCACCCGGCCTAAATTTACTATTTAAAGTTTGAAAAAGTCTTTTGTATCCAGAAGTCAGTTAAAGGATCAAGTATTTCATTCTAGGTTTTTAAAAAATATTTTTCACAAAATTCTTTAATCCATCCAGAATACATTTTGGTATGTGGAGTGAAATAAAAAGCTAATTCCTTAGAAGGAATTTCTTTCTTCATTGGTTTCTGTTTCAAATTTTACTGGGATGGTATAGCTTAGTGGATGAAACAACAGATCTGGAACGAGACTGCCTGAATTCAAATTCCAGCTCTGCTCTGTCACTTGTTCTGTGACCCTGAGGTCTCTTAAGAAATCTGAGTCTGCGACTTTTGAGTTCTTTAATCGATTTATGCCTCAGAGTCCTCACTTGTAAAGTGTTGATGCTAATATACTTGGGGGTTGTTTTGAGAATTAAGTGTATTGAGATATGTAAAGTGCTTAGAAGAGAGCCTGGCACCTGTTTGTTGTTATGCGGAAGTAACTATCTCTTCTGCTATGTTAATCTGTACCATTCCTGCATCAGAATTCTACCACATTACTGTAATTCTGTCATAAGTTTTAGTGTCTCTTTGAGTAGGATGTCACTTTATTCTTTTCATTAAAAAAAAAAATTTAGCTGCTCTTGCTAGTTTTTTACTTAAAACTTAGAATTTTCTGTCAAGATCCAGCCAAAAAAAAATCTAAAATGTTTAATGAATTTGTTTCAGAATTTATAAGCCAATTTGAGAACTGATAGTTCAAATATAGTCAGTCACCGTACGTAAGTTTTGCAGTTTTTTTCACTGAGTGCCAAAACTTCTCATTTAAGTGCTTCCTAAGACTGGATTTTATGGCTGTTGTGGTATTTTTTTTTCCATCAAATCCTGCCTGATTACCGCTCACTCTCTTCTCCCTACCCAACTAACTTTTCTACATAGTATGTATCTTCTATTTTTGTATGTTTGCCTGTTATTGCCATTGGGATTTTTTTAAGTCCTAAGAGGACAGGAACTTAGTCTATTTGGTTGACCTCCAACTTGCCCCAGAACTCAGAACTCAGTCTGCCATATAAAATTTGCTGAATGAATACCTGAAGAAATGTAGTGATGTCTATCTTGCATTCAGTGATTTTGTTGTACTTTCATTTTTAATTCTTGTATTTTTAATAATACATTTTCGTGTTACTAAGATAAACAAGCATATTGCCTCCAAATAACAATGCTTCACCTTGTTTAAGCTTCAGGTTTATTCACTTGGCCAGAAAAATATCAAATAATCGTAGTAGTAATAGGTTATCTTTTTGTTACTGATTTTATTAGGAAATCCCAAAACAAAATTTTACTTTTATAAACAACAGTTTAAAGGCACTATTTAGGCCAGGTGCAGTGGCGCATGCCTGTAATCCTAGCACTTTGGAAGGCCGAGGCAGGTGGATCACGAGGTCAGGAGTTCAAGACCAGCCTGGCCAGCATGGTGAAACCCTGTCTCTACTAAAAATACAAAAATTAGCCGGGCATGGTGTCATGCGCCTGTAGTCCCAGCTACTCAGGAGGCTGTGGCAGGAGAATTGCTGGAACCTGGGGGCAGAGGTTGCAGTGAGCCAAGATTACACCACTGCACTCCAGCCTGGGCGACAAGACTGAGACTTCATTAAAAAAAAAAAAAAGCATGCCACTATTTAAAGCTTAACCACTTTAAAATCTTGATGTTAGGATTCTATTACATTGCACTCCAAAACAGAATATTTACTGAAAAATACAAGGTGACTGTTTTGTGGACAATAGTTTTATATTTCCACTACTTTTCTTAGAAGTTATGATTATAACTTTTATAACTTGTTATTAAAATGACTATTTTTACCTTATAGCTTTCTGCTGCTTGAATGAGATCTCTCATGGAAGCAGATAACTGGTCCTTTTCTGACCGAAGAGATTCAAGTTCTTCCCTTACAGTCTGGGTCTGTTTTAAATACAAGCAAAATTAAAGAGGTTTTTGTTTGTTTTTTTTAATGGATAGAAAAACTCTTGATTTTTTAAAATATAAGATTCCTGAATCTTACATTTTTAAAGTAAGCTCACCTCTTTTCTGCTGGAATCTAGTTCTTTCTTTGCCTTCACGGCAACTAATTTTATCTTATTTATTTTCTCCTCCTTTTCTTTGCTTTCTTTTTCCAGATTTTCTAAAAATAGAAAATAAATGGATTACATACGAACTCAAAAGGAAAAAATTCAAATTACTTGCTTATTTTAGCCCTAGATTATTTGGAAGCACAAAATTGGTAATTTGATATTAAAATAAGCAGTAAAAACAGTAATACCATTTTTTAAAGTGGAAGCTTATTTGTTATGTGAGGCAATGTAAAAAGTTTCCATTGTCTTTAATTCTCCAAAATAGTCTACTTTTCTCTAGCCATTTCATAAGTTTCTAGGAATTACAGGCTTTCAAAACTTCTCATTAGATTTCCTGGAAATGCAGGTATGCCAGGACTTTAGATAATAGTGTGCCAATTAGGATCAAGTATTGGAGATATCAGATGCAGATCAGTATTTATGCTCCATAGGTACACTCCTCCTCTTGGCTGGTGGGTCTGACTTTCCCAACTAAACCTGTAATATGTTTTACCTATCCAATATGGATCTCTCTGTTAACTTCTTTAGCTACCTACCTCATTTGAACTCCAGAGTTCAGGACTTCTTGGTATTTGTTTCTAAAAATTCAGTTATGATCCAAATTTCTGTCCTGGCCTATTAATTTACTTGCACCGGTACCTTCCCTCTGGCTACCATAGTGAAGTGTCTGTGTGTGGAGCAAAGGCCAGTCGTTCCACATCTGCATTTCATCCTATGTCTCCTTACCTACTCAAGCATCAGAGCAACAATTTTCCCTCCTTCTTCTCCAGCAGCAATTTTCCCCTTTCTAGCAGATTTTTTCCCAATATTTTATAAACATGCAACAAGAAAAATTACCATCAAGAAATTAAGGCCAGGAATAAATAGTAGAAGCAGTTAAAGAGGGTAGGGGATAGGTGAAACATCTCAAACATGCTGTTATTCTTCCCATAAAATAAAAAATTAAACCACAAGGTCCCTCTAGTTTTGTCCCATTGCTTTTTCTTTCCCCTATAGCAAATCCCTTGAAAAGAGTCATCTATATACGCTCTCAAACATTGCCTCCCCCATTTTTTTCTAGAATCAACTGCAATCAAGCTCTGGTTCCAGCATGTCATGGACACTGACCTCTTTGTTGCTTAAGGCAGTGGTCTTAAGTGTTGCTTAAGGCATCTTATTTGATACATCAGGAGCACTAGCAATGGCTAACCACTTTTTCCCTCTTGAAGCACTTCACTTCCTGTCACTTGCCTTAGCTTTCAAGACATTTTATGTTCCAGGTTTTCCTACCTCACTAGCTGCTCCTTCTCAATTTCCTGTGTTGTCTCTATCTTCTCTATCTTTACATGAATGGACAACTGTCTCTGGTCTCCATCTTTTGGCTATACTCCCTTAGTAATTTCAATCTCCCAGCTTTTTTTTTTTTGTTTTTTTTTTGAGACGGAGTCTTGCTCTGTCACCCAGGCTGGAGTGCAGTGGCGTGATCTTGGCTCACTGTAAGCTCCGCCTCCTGGGTTCACGCCATTCTACTGCCTCAGCCTCCCAAATAGCTGGGACTATAGGCGCCCGCCACCATGCCCGGCTAATTTTTTTTGTTTTGATTTTTAGTAGAGACGGGGTTTCACAGCGTTAGCCAGGATAGTCTCCATCTCCTGACCTCGTGATCTGCCCACCTCAGCCTCCCAAAGTGCTGGGATTACAGGTGTGAACCACCGGGCCCCCTCTCTCGGCTTTTATGCCCACTCTTTAACTACAAATATTTATCTCTAGCTTAGGTCCCTCCCCTTAACTCCAGATTTGCATAGCATTCTAACATCTCTACTTGGACTGGTATTTCAACTTACTTCTAAAACTGAACATCCCAATCTGCCCCAATAACATATTATAAACAACTGGGAGTCATTCTACTCTTCAACTTCCCTTACCCTAATCTAATAGGGCACTAAATTCAGGGATCATTGGCACATTACATACTTCTAAGTCTTTGTTTCCTGATCCTTACATGGGAATAAGAGAGCTATCCTATAATGTTACTGTGAGGAATAAATGGATAAGATAAAGCCCTAACTCCTCTGCATATCATTCATACTGTTGGGTTCATGATCTGGCTCTTATCTCTCCAGGAACTTTCTAGTATGTGCCTTGATGTATGCTATATGTCAATCTACAAGCACCTGCTCTTCCTTCTTCCTAGAATACCTTTCTTCCCGTGTAAAATTTCTCATTCTTCAAGACTCGGCTAAAAACACTATTCTATGCTGCTTTTCTTAACTCAAAACAGTGTAAGTTCCTATGTTGTCAGTACTGTATCTTGTCCACACCTCAAACTACTGCAATAACAGTGAGATCTTTGAGCACATGGTCTGTACCTCAACCACTTTTCTATCACCAGTGTCTAGAATAGTTGGGCATTTAAATAAAGTTTGCTAAATAACTGAAAAATCCAAAATAAATCAGGAAACCATTTATAAATCACACCAATCTTGCCTGGGTTAAACAATAGAAAGTAACACTTTTGAAAGAGAAGGTAAACAGGTGTCAGAGGGGCAAGAATGTGAGCTCGAGGAAAAGACAGCTACGAACTGTGCTTTTAACAACTCATTATTTGGCTACTGTATTTCCCAATCTATTCTAACACTAACAAGAATCTGTCTAATTGTGACAACATCTGTAAAACCATAGTTACCTAATTTTTCTTCCAACTCTTTTACTGAAGACAGAGGATCATTTTGTACAGAAGGTGATTTCGCTAAGGAATCCTAGATTTTACAGGGGGAAAAAACAAAACAAAACAGAATAAAAATCAGAATCAGAATTCATTTTCCATAATGAACCGGCCATCATGTTAAGCATAAGAAAATCATTATCAAAGAGAATTCCTACAAAAAGCAATTTGGTCACAGATTTTCCCTTGTTAGACCAGAAAATTAATACTGACCTTACTATGCATATGGCATTTACTATTTAAAAAAAATAGTAACCAAGGCCAAGATAGATAACCTGATACATCAAATACATATGTAATAAGGAAATGAATAAACGACTTTTATTCTTTAATTTTTAAAGAAAACCCTAAAAATTTTAGCAATACCACCAAAGCTCACTCTCTTGCTTAAAAGTGCTCTTTACAAAAGATAACTAGACATTTCACACAAGAATGAAACTCAAGTTTTTTCATGTTTAGTTGTTTTGCTAGCGACTGATAAACTTCTGACCAAGACATTTAAATCCCTAATCATTGACTCTTCTATAAACTCAAGATTTTAAAATTATCTAAAACTCCCCAAAAATAAATGTAATAAACTGGACATACAACATGGAAATGTCTAACGCACTTTTCAGAAAGTTGCCACTTGAACTTGAATGGTAAAAATTTACTTTTGATGTCAAGGTGTAAAAATGTTTAACGTATATATTTTAGAGTTGAACTAAGAATTTATTTGAAACAATACAATTCAAATGAAGAGTACCTTTAATAGTATCAACTCTGCTCTCGTATCTCGTAATTCTGATTCTTTTTGTTCTAGTAACGGCTTTAGGTTTTCATGTTCCTTTATAGAACATTTTTCTTTTTCATTACGGACTTCATTTTTGTTACATGTTTGAGATACTTCTTCAACTTGAATTAGAAGATTCTGATTTTCAAGCCTTGTTTTTTCATTAGCATTCTTCATTTCTAGAAGATCAGATTGCAGGGCCTCTTTTTCTGACTGGATTTCTTCTAACTCTTTCCTTAAGAGAACTTTCTCTTGCTCATAGTCTCTCAATAAAGACTTAAGTTCTTCACACTGAACTACACTCTCTTCTTGAAGGCACTTAATCTCTTTTTCTAACTCGAATACCTTTTTATCACACTGAAAAACCAGGTTGCATTTTTCCTCATTTATTTTTGCCAAGGATTCACCGACTGCCTGTAGGATATTAACAACATCTTTCTCTTCACCGTCTTCTGAAACTTCAGACCCTATATCTTTAAGAAAACCACACAACTGAGTTTTGACAAATAACTTCTGAACTTGCTCATTTTCAAGCAGTTTATTTAAATTATCTCGCTCTTCAACCATTAACTGAAGTTTCTTTTCTAATTCAGTAATATGTTCTTTAAGGATAACATCATCTTTTTGAGACAAAAAAACTTCCAAATCCCTACTCAACTGTTTTTTTTCTGAACTGAGTTTATTGTTTTCCTCATAGAGAGACTTCACTTCAGCTGACAATACTTCTTTGTCTTCAGAGAGAACTTTCATTTGAACCATAAGTTTTTCTAGTTTTTGGTCATTTTGATCCTTTTCTTTTAAAGTCTCCTCTAATCCTCCTGTTAATTCATTTACCTTTTGTTCTAGTTCACTGTTGTACTGGGTTGTCTGCTCTACTTTCTTCCCAAGTTCAAGAATCAATCTTTCTTCCCTCTCACATTTCTTATGGAAATTATCCATTTCTTCATAGGAATTTTTCAGTTTATTTATAAAATCATCTTTTTCCTCAGTAAGAGAATTTATCTTTGCTTCTAATTCTTTTAACATGGTATCTCTTTGACTGAGACTAAGTAAGTATACTCCATTCTTTTCTTCAAGGTTCTTTATGGTATTTTCAAGTTCTGGTACCAATTCTTGTTGAGATAGTAACTTTTCATTTTCTCCCTGGAGGTGATTCACAGTTTCGAGAAGAGCATCTTTCTCAGTAAAGGCAGTTCTGAGCTTCTGCTGCAGTTCATGAACATCAGATGCTTGCTGTTGCTTCATTGATTCAAATTCTTGACTTATTTTTCCAGCAGATTCCCCCAGTTCTGTTTGTAAAATTTCCATAATCTCTCGTAAACTCTCATAATTTAAAATTGCTTCTTGCTTTTCTTGCTGTAGGTTGTCACACTGTTCCTTAAGACCCTGTATTTCAAACATTAATGTTAATTTTTCTTTTTCTGAATCTGACAAAAATGTCTCATTTAGCTCTGATATTTCTTTTTGATGTTGTTCCTTAAGGCTCTGTACTTCTTTGTTATGCTGTTCTACAGTACAGCAAAACTGTTTATTTAAACCTGCTAGCTCAGATTTTAATTTTTCAATTACACAGCCCTGTTCTTCTTTAGCTAGTAATAATTCATTAATTTTAAACTCTAAGTCTTCCCGTTCATGAAAAAACTCATCCTTTATATGTTGAGCATCCATTTCAAGTTTTAACTTAAGATTATTCATATAAGTTACCTCATCTTTTAAGATACTATGTTGAGATTCAAGTTCTTTTAAGGTATCTTCTAAGTGTTTGACTTTTTCATTTACTACTTGTTCTACAAATGTATTTTCTTGGAAGAGAAGAGAACACATCTGATTGTCTTGGTTTGCATTTGAGGTGGCTTTCCTTAAATTTTCTAACTCACATTCATATTTCTCCTGGATGTTCTTTTCACTTGCCTCACATTGTTTTACTAAGTTCTCTTTCAGCTCATTCAACTTATTTATCTCTGTTTCATGTTCCTTAGCTGATGCTTCAATCTGGCACATTAATTCTTTCACCTCTTCTTGGTGTATAGCTTTCAACTGTAAAAGTTCCTCCTGCAAACTATTAATATTTTTTTGGTAATGCTGAGAATTAGCCTCAATGATATTTTGGAGTTGAGTAACTGTTTCCTTCTTTTCATCAGTGGTAGCGTCTAATTGCTTTTGCAGATATAAAATTTGCTCCTCAAAGGCTGGCCTAATTTTCTCAATCTCTTCTTGTAGTTTTTTAACATTATCTTCAGAGTTGTTCTGAAACTTAAGTTGTTCTGAGAGCTCTAATTGCTTATTCACTGCTTCTTCCAGTTCCTTTTGTAAGTTAGCTTTGTCTTCACTGTATTTGGCACGTACTGCCATCAATTCATTTTTCAAATTTTCAATTTCTTTCACATAGTTTATATGTGATTGTTCCAACTCCTTATGTGCATCTTCCATCTTAGTTACAGAATCCTATTACAAAACATAAGCACACATAAATTATTTAAGTAAGACAAAAGAAGCCTCTGCTCTTAGGAAAAATATTAGCCACAAACTAAGTAGAGAGAAAAGTAAATGAGAATAAACGTATTTGGAGAAACATGATACTGATATTCCAGTAATTCTCCTTAGGTGCTGCCTATCTAAAGTATGACAATATACATCTACAATATTAGATCTACAACTCAAATTAGCTCAGACCTAATAGGCAAGAAACAGAAGCATGTCTCTGAATAGCCTAGAACTAAAGAGATAACGGTATTTAGTCATGTGTGAAAATCAACTTACTTTTTTTTGCTTTTATTAAAGAATAGCATTATAGCTGTAAAAAAGATAAAGCAACAAGTAAATTCACCTCTGTTGCTGTATAGTTAGGTGATTCAGTTATTTTTCTTTTAAAATCTCAATCTGTTTCTTTGTTTATATTACAAAATGTTAATCAGATTAGATGCTTTTTAAAGTCTTACCTCTAAAATTAGTGACTACACTATATAAGTTAATAAAAAAGAACACTAAAATATTGACTTACCTCAACCTCTTGCTTCATTTTTTTATTTTCCTTTCTCAGAGAAAGACACTGTTGCTCAGTCTCTGCTTTTTCCAGAAGAATAGCATCCAGACGTTCAGTTAATGCCTATTTTAGAACAGGATTTATATGCCTGGGGTTAAAAAAATGGTGGATTGACCACATGCATAATTTTCTCCTGACCTTTTCAAAACACACTAAAGTGAGAATAAGAGATTTTAAAAGGTAGAATACATTAAGCAAAGAGAAAAGGAGAAAAGATATAAGGGTAAGAGAAATTTCAACACATTTTTGGAAAACTGAATTATGGAGGAGGATGAACTGAATTAGAAGCAGGAAGAAAGCTATAACCTAAGGACCTACACAAGGAAACACATATGAGAACCTGGCAAATATTTTGCAGAACTGAAATGCTCAGAATTGGAGGCAACAGATATTGTTGAGGGAGGTATAATGTGTGGGCTCAAAAATTGGGGATTGGTCAACAATCTGAATAGGGACCAGTCAGAGAGTAAGTAAGAAATAATCTATGTGCTTCCCCCATCAGAGACAGGTTATTCTCTGCAGAAATTAAAGAGGAAGTTAATGAGATGGAAAAAAAAAACACAATAAGCCAAGAGTCAGCTCTTTTAAGACAGCTATCAAAATAGACACCTTTTAGTAAAACTGATCAAAAGACAGAATTTCCAAAAAATAATACAGTGTAAAAGGATGCACATCTACATAAGTCGGGCATGGTGGCTCATGCCTGTAATCCTAGCACTTTGGGAGGCCGAGGTGGGCAGATCACTTGAGGTCAGGAGTTCGAGACCAGCCTGGACAACATGGTGAAACCCTGTCTCTACTAAAAAATACAAAGAAAATTAGCTGGGTGTGGTGGTGGGTGCCTGTAGTCCCAGTTACCCTGGAGGCTAAGGCAGGAGCATTCCTTGAACCCAAGAGGTGGGGGTTGCAGTGAGCCAAGATTGCTCCACTGTACTCTAGCCTGGTCCAGCCTGGGTGACAGAGCAAGACTATGTCTCAAAAAAAAAAAAAAAAGAAAGTTAAAGAAAATTATTATGAGTAACTATTTGTCAATAATAATGAAAACTCAATGGAAATGGATTCCTATAAAAATAAACCTTGGCCGGGCGCGGTGGCTCAAGCCTATAATCCCAGCACTTTGGGAGGCCGAGACGGGTGGATCACGAGGTCAGGAGATCGAGACCATCTTTGGCTAACACAGTGAAACCCCGTCTCCACTAAGAAATACAAAAAACTAGCCGGGCGAGGTGGCGGGCGCCTGTAGTCCCAGCTACTCGGAAGGCTGAGGCCGGAGAATGGCATGAACCCGGGAGGCGGAGCTTGCAGTGAGCTGAGATCCGGCCACTGCACTCCAGCCTGGGCTACAGAGTGAGACTCCGTCTCAAAAAAAAAAATAAATAAAAAATAAACCTTTACTGACTCACAAAAAGTTTAAAAAGCATAATACTATATTTAAAAATCAAAAAAACAGTTAAAAGACAACAGGAGGAATAGATGGTTTTTAAGCTGAGTTCTATCAAATTTTCAAGGAACAGACAGATCATCCCAATTTCATACAAACTTGTTCAGACAAAGTAAGAAGCAAGAATAATTCCCAAGGTATTCTATAAAATCAGCATAACTTGAAACCAATATCCAAGTACTTACAGAAAGTAAAAATCAAAGACCCATTTTATGACAAATCTAGATGCAAAAATCCTAAATAAAACATTAGTACACTATCACTATTGCTAATCAACAATTGTTATTAAAGACCTCAGCCTGTAAATAAAGCTTTAAGAGGACAGGAGGTGGCCAGGAGTGGTGGCTCATGCCTGTAATCCCAACACTGGGAGACGGAAGTGGGAGGATCAATGTTTAAGCCTCGGCAACAGGTGAGGCTCTGTCTCAAAAATAAATAAAAAAATAAGACATGAGGCATAAAGACAAAAAAAATGTTTTTTTCAGATGATATGACTGTTTATATAAAAAATCTAGAAGAATCTATAGGTAATTAGAAACAACAGAGTTTCACAAAGTAGATATAGGATTAATATACAAAGTCAGTTCCATTTCTGGATACTAAAGAATTAGAAAATACAGTTAAAAAGAAGACAGCATTTACAATGGTATCAAAGAATATCAACGGTCTAGAAAAAACTTTACCAGAAATGTGTGAAGGCATTCCACAGGGGAAACTATAAAACTACAGATTCCACGCAATTCCAATTAATTGCAATGAAGTTTTTCATGGAATATGACAAGATTCTAAATGCATATGGAAAAGTAAAAAACCAAGAATAGCCAGGACACTTTTGAAGAGAACAAAGAGAGGACTTACTCTCCTAGATGCCATGATTTACTATAAGGCTATAAAAAATAATAAAGACAATACAGTATTGGCAAAGGCACAGACAACCAATGGAATAGAAAAAAGAGTTCAGACAATTCAGACAAACACAAACATTTTTAACTATAATATTAGATTAATGGAGAAAGACTATTCAATAATTAAGGTTGTAAAATAGTTATTTATATTAAAAAATACTTCGAACCATATTATAAACAACCTCCAGATGGATTAATATTTAAATGTCAAAAACACAGTTTTAAATTCTTAAGAAACCTTAAGATGGCCGGGCGCAGTGGCTTATGCCTATAATCCCAGCACTTTGGGAGGCCAAGGCGGGCGGATCACAAGGTGAGGAGATTGAGACCATCCTGGCTAACACAGTGAAACCCCGTCTCTACTAAAAATACAAAAAATTAGCCAGGCGTGGTGGCAGGTGCCTGTGGTACCAGCTACTCAGGAGGCTCAGGCAGGAGAACGGCGGGGACCCAGGAGGCGGAGCTTGCAGTGAGCCAAGATCGGGCTACTGCACTCCAGCCTGGGCGACAGAGCAAGACCGTCTCAAAAAAACAAAAAAACCCAAAAAAAACCATAAGCTGGGAGAAGGTATTTAACACACAAACAACAAAAATAACAAAAAATATATATTTTAAAAAATTCTACAAACCCGTAGGAAACCCATTGGCCCATTAAGAAAATGGATGCTGGTCAGGCGTGAGGGCTGACACCTGTAATACCAGCACTTTGGGAGGCTGAGGTGGGTGGATCACAAGGTCAGGAGATCAAGACCGTCTTGGACAACATGGTGAAACCCCGTCTCTGCTAAAATACAAAAAATTAGCTGGGCGTGGTGGCACATGCCTGTAATCCCAGCTACTTGGGAAGCTGAGGCAGAGGAATCTCTTGAACCGAGAAGGTGGAGGTTGCAGTGAGCTGAGATTGTGCCACTGTACTCCAGCCTGGCGACAGAGCAAGACTCTGTCTTAAAAAAAAAAAAAAAGAAGAAAAAATAAAATGGATGTTATACACAAAAAGAATACTTCAATCCAGACCACATGATCTATCATTTTATACCTATTTGGCAAAAATAAAAATGTATGACAATGCCTAGTGCTGGAGAGGATATGGATCCACAGTATCCCTTGTACATTGCTGGTAAAAGTTATTTCAAATACTTAATAGTGGTTTGGCACTATCTCCCGAGGTTGAACCTTCATGTAACTTTTGACACAAAGATTTCACCCATTTACTTATAAGAATCCTTTGCACATTTATAAAGGAGATGTATAAGAGAAGGTTCATTCTGCTTGTACTCCATCGCATAAACCTCAGCATAACCCCAACATCCATTAACAGTCTAGTTCATGAATGAACTGTTATTGTAATACAATGTCATACTCTATAGCAGCATGGTGACATGCAATGATACAGATGAGCTTTAGAAAAATATTAAGTGCAAAAAGTCCTAATACATTACAAACAACGTGATACCCTTTTAGTGAAGTTAAAAACTAAAATGAAAAAAAATTATAAAATGATACTTATAAATGCCATAAAACTTCATAAAAGGAAAAGGAATGATGAACATGGGACTTAGGATTATGGTTTCCTGAGGTGTGGGAAACTAGGGGGGGTGGAGTAGCAAGGGGGTGGGGATTACACTGCAAGATGTCTATTATTTTAAAGATCCTAGCTTTTGGGGGAGTTCATTTGTGATTATATCACAAATAATTAAATTGGAAGGAAAAGGAGACAATGCAAAGGAGGCAGAAATAAAGTCCAAGACAGAAAAAATTTATTAGCTCAGAAAGATTATAGAACTTGTTGAATCTTTAAGATGAAAACAGAATATTCATATATCAAGAATGAGCTCTTTGAAATATTTAACATCAAATAGAAATTTTAATACAGTGATGGAAAAATTAAAAGTGGATGACATTTCTTCTTAGACAAAAGGGAAAACTATTGAGAAAAAGGAAAAACTCTATTGAAAATATAAATCTAGATGAGCATTCTAGAAAGTTTTGTGGCATACTCTATATATAGACTGTTTCCTTCAACTTCTATAATCAACAAGTTCTTTCTTGCCTGCCTCTTTTACATACAGTATAAAAGCTAAAACCTAAAACCCCTGATTTCTCAGATCAACAGCATGAGGACACAGGAGCACAGGGATGAAGAGTGTCTGGGTCCTGATGACATCACTGGAAGACTGCACCAGCCGGAGAACTGCTATGTCTAAACTTCTTAGATGAAATAATACTAATTTAAAAACTATTATTTAAGAAAACAAAAACAAAACAGATGTAGAAAAATTCAGAGTTCTATATCAAGTTACAGCTATCATTCAAACGTGAGAGTAAAATAAAGGAATATTTAAATACAAGACAATACAAAAATTTACCTACATGTGTTCATTCTTAGGAAGCTACAGAAGAATGTGCTCTACCAAAATGAGATGGTTAACCCAGAGAGAGAATGACGTGTGACCTAGCAAAGAACAGGGGGCCAATACAAGTAAGCAGTGTAGAAGTTCACAGGATCATCACAAAAGGCCTGTCCCAAAGTACAGGAAGACAGAAGGCAGGTACCAGGAATAAAGATAAAACAAAGATTATTTAATCTGTTTGATCATTTGGAAAGTAGAAGGGGTGGTGAAAGACAGCTAGATTTTCATTTGTTGTAACAGGAAGTTTTAGAACTGATAATTCAAGTAATAGCAGTATAAACATATTATTTAGAAATACAGAGATAA